GGGTTTAGGGTTTAGGGTGCGAAATTACAAGGAGAGACCATTCTGATGCCCAAGGAGCTGGTCGGTGGTGCACTGCCTGCTGCATGAACCGCTTTTGTCGGGTTTTGTGGCTTGAGGCCTTTGGAGGCGTGAACTCTTGGGCGACTTACATGGTCCCTTGATAAGGGCCCTTATGCACCCCTTTTCCACCGAATACAACCCAAGGGCCCATAAATCCTTCGTAAGGGACTATGTAACTAATCCAAAAGACTTGTCTTTTGACCCTAAACCCAAACCCCAAACCCCAAACCCCAAATCCTAATCCCTCGACCCTGGGTTCCAACGCGACCCCAAGTCCAACGAGCCCGGGGCGCAAGAGAAGCTTCAACTTCTATACGATCAAGAAAGTTCTTGATAGGGACTTAAGGAACCGGCTACTTGGTAGGTTTCTCGAATTTAGGGTTTAGGCTGCAGGGTTTAATTAACATCCCTTCTACAGAACCCTTTGCGGGGTCTTTCAGGGCACCTGACTCCGTAATTCCCTACACAAAAACCCGCATATCAAGCTAGACTGAAACTAGTGAGTGCATAAACTGCAAGATTCGACCCTCTAGCACAAGCCTGAACCACACACTCTTATTGCCAGGTCCTTGACGCAACCCGCAGGCCGAGTAAGCTTACCCTCCCCCCCACCCTCCCTCTTCCGTTGGACCCTTTTTTGAGGAGGGGCTGCAGGTCCGTTTTTCCCCAGACCCTAAACCCTAGACCTAAACCCTAAATACAAAAACCCTAAATCCTAAACCCGAAACCCCAAACCCAAACCGCAGAATCTGCGTGGCAGCCCGGGAACCCTGTTGCAAACAGGGTGCCCAGGGTGCCCGATTTGGAGTTGCCCAGAATCCAAATACGGGCAAAAGGGAAGCATTATCCTTCCACGCATATGCACAAAAACCCTTTAAGCGCATGACCATGCTACCCGCACGCTTGTTTGCTCAGCCTCTTAACTGCCGAGTCGAGATGCACTGGGCAAGATCCCCAGGCCAACACTTGGCACCAAGTTCCCCAGTTGTCGTGGCCTGAGGTGGGGGGGGGGGGGGGCTTGGGTTGAGGGGTTCAGGGGCCTACCTAGGGCTTTATAGAGCTTTAGGGTCCAGGTTGTCTGCGGCGGGTTGAGAGTGTGTTGGGTGCTGCCGGGTTTCAGGATTTGAGATTGATTGCTTAGGGCTTAGGGCTTGAAGCCTACACCCCCTCAACCCTATCAGCCCCAAATCCCTACAGGAGTGGGGACCCTCCTTTAGGGTTCAGTGCCCTGGGCTAGGCGCTGCAGGGTTTGTCCTTTAGGATGGGGTTGATTGTTTGGGCTGCTTGAAGCTTCAGGGTCCAGGGTTGACGGTTCAGGGTCGAAGCGGCCAGCCATTAAAGTCTTCCCCTGAGCTGGCCTACAAAAGAGTCAGTGTAGATGAATCGGCTTCAGGCTTAGGGTTTGGGTTAAGCCCTGCCCTAAACGCTAAAGCCTAAATCCTGAACCTTATGTGCCAAAACTAGTGCGAGCGTCCATGTGATTAGAACCAATTGGTCCAAATTATGCACTTGTTTTGGCGGAGGCGTCTCGATGAGAATGAATGTCTGTACATACATATACATAGGCATAGACATAGACATAGAGATAGACACAGACACAGACATAGACGTAGACATAGACATAGAGATGGACATAGACATAGAGATAGGCATAGACATAGATATAGACATAGAGATAGACATAGACATAGACATAGACATAGACATAGACATAGACATAGACATAGACATGGACATAGATAGACATACATTCATTCATACATACATATGTATATAAATATAGGTATACACATTCATGCATTTCGGGCGCCACAAAATCGACAATTGTTATCATCCACTACGCATGACGGTCGACCGTCTGGCGGAAGATGCACACGAGAACCACTTAGCACCCTTCCTCCGTTCTGAGCACCAACCCTGCGTATAGACCCAACCCAACCCTAAACCCTAAACCCTAAGCCCTGAAATGCCCTGAACCCTAAACCCTAAACCCTAAATTTGACCAGGCTTTCTGATGTGCCAGGCTTCATGCAGTGCTCAGCCCATGTAGACTTCAACACACACCTCTTTGGCAAGTCCCTCAAATGCCTCTGAACCCACAAACCCTAAACGTATATACCCTAAGCCCAAAACCCTGGTTCATAAACTCCGAATCCTGACGCGCTGACACCGTGTATGGGTCGCCCGGCACTGTTGCTCGTAGGTCGGGTGGCAAGGGCAGGACCTTTCGCAAGGCTGGCCCGTTGGGGTGTAGGTTTTTTGGGTTCCAGGTTGCATCAGTCGGGTGGAGTCGTTGGGCTCCAGTTTCAGCTCTGAGCTTACACGTGGTCAACGTGCAGAGATTCTGAGGTATGTACGGCAAATGTTTGTGGGTCGCCTTGGCTGTATGCGTGCGCGTGCGGTCAGATCTTTAGTTTATGCATCCCGTGATAAGGTTGTTGTTCCAACGTCCTCCAGGCAAAATGAAACACCACGAAGCCGACTCCCCGAACGGCTGGTCTGGGGGCATCTGCATTCAATCATGCCGCGATGAGGCTGAGTCAACGACAAGCATTGCGGGTTTAGGTTTGTCAGCGAAATTTTGGGATACCCCTTTTGGGATACCCCTTTTGGGCTCAGACGCTCGAGCACTATCTGAAATACCATCAATGCATGTACCATCCAAGAACCACGTCTCTCAAAGGTTGGCCCTCGAATACTCTGCAAAACATATTCCTTTGTGTGATCCTCTTAAACCCAATATGGGAAAAGAGAACATATCCCGAGGGTCTACTTCAACCCAATAAGGGAGAAGAGTGGGTCGCTGGGGGGGGGGGGGAGTCCGGAGGCACGCGCGGCTGCCAGAAGTCCAAAGGTTTCTTGTTGTGGTTTAGGGTTTAGGGCTTCAGGGTTCAGGGTTTAGAGCTTCAGGGTTCAGGGTTCAGGGCCCTCATCAATGCTGCAAGACTTCTTGCACGTGGCTTTGGCTTAGGGCGTGGGTCTCTTTGGCTATGCTCAAGAGTCACCTAGGAACAAAAAAGGGTACGCTTTGTTGGGTTTACTGGCTTATCAAGGGAATAAGGGCTATAACGGCCAGTGGCCTCTTTATCTGTTACCCTTATACCTGAACATAGCCCCTACATGACCTGCTAAGAACCCCGAATACATGCCCCTATGACACAGAACCCTACTCAAAGCCCATATTAAAATAAAGGCCTACTCTGTTTCGTGGGCAGCTGTGGGCCGCGCTGATCGATGGGGTGACACGTCTGGTTGTGCGAGAGGCTCCAGTCTGGCAGGCCTAAGGTGAGAGCCCCCTGAAGCTGCCTAAACCCTAAACCCTAATTAAACCCTAAAACCCTAAACCCTAAACCCTGGGTCTCCCAATCACAAACCAGACTGCTCACCATATACAGCCGTTCGGGCAGATGAGCTTCGAAACAGCACTGGTCGGGGGGCAGCGAGCTTCGAGAAGGGTCTGGGGTTTGGGGTTTAGGGTTTAGGGTTTAATTGATTTTTCGGGGTCAAGGGCTGGGAGCTTCGGGTTTAGTAGAAGGGGAATTCAAGTTCATGTCTTGTTAAGGGCTTAGGGTTCATATTAGGGTTTAGGGCTTAGATTTTACAGAGGGCTTAGGGTGTGGGATTTCGGGGGTGCGAGGTTCACTGCCCATCATCTCAAACTTAGAAACTCTAAGCCACATGCTCTAAACCCTAAACCCTATACCCTAAACCCCCCCTCCCACTCGGAGAAAGGCCATCGCTCCCGAAGGGAGTCATGTAGCAGTCCTGAAAGTGGGGTTTTTAGGGTTAGGCTTTAGGGTTTCAGGTTCAGAGGGGGTTTTAGAGTTCGGATGTAGACGGTGAGGGCGCGAGAGCTCAAGCCGTTAACCTATAGACCCTAAACCCTAAACATCCCTAAACCCTATAAACCAGGAACCCAACTGCATGACAACCAAGTTACGTCGAATATAGGGGCCTGAAATATTAGAATAGGGTTTTGGGGGGTTATTATAGCATACTCATAAAGGGATCATAAGGGGATACTATGAGTAGTTATTCCAACCCCTACTCGGAGGTTCAGGGTACCTGTTAACCAAGTATAACTGTACTTATCACCCGCTTGTAAGCCACTTAAGTGCCCTAATATAGTTATTGTTTAGGTTATACGTACAGTCATAGTTGGCTAATAAGTACCCTGAACCCCAAACCCTAAACCCTGAACCTCCAAGTATATTATGAACCCTTCAAGAGCAGCTCCTTCTTGACACCCCGCCCCCCCTCCCCCCAAGCCACAAAGAAGGGTTTAGGGTTTAGGGTTTGGGGTTTGCACCTGCTTTGGGGTTTGCACAACAGCTAGGGTTTAGGGTTTGCGGCTTGCAGATGCTTTACGGTTTCACAAGGTGCACCACCCTAAACCCTAAACCCTAAATACTTACGACAAGACTTCCTACGTACATAAAACCTCCCGCCCCACCACCCAAACAAAAACTAACCCCCGAAAAGCCCTGCACGCTTTGAAGCCCTGCACCCCTAAAGCCACAACAGCGGCGGCATCTACCTGGGTTCGGGTTCAGTTGTTAGGGCTTAGGGCACCGAACCCTAAACCCTAAACCCTAAACCCTAAACCCTAAACCCTAAACCCTAAACCACCCCCCCAAAACTGATGAGCAGCCTGCTCGTCGTCAGCACAGGTGAGGGGGCAGCTGTAGGACTTGGACTGGCACCAGCTGTAACCTCACTGAGTACTCTGGTGGTGCGCTCAGCATGAGGCCTGAGACCCCAAAACCCTTTCCTTTATGAAGACCAGGGTTTAGGGTTTAGGGTTTAGGACCCTTTAAGTCATGATGAGGATCTCGAGTATGACTTCAGGGGCTGTCACAAGGGCTATCGTAGCTGGGAATGACCCCCTAGGATGCTGTAAGGGACTAGCAACGACTCCGCAAATCTCACTTAGGGTTTAGGGTTTAGGGTGTAGGGTTTAGCGTAGGATGCTTTCAGGGTGCCGAATTGGAGTGTCCGGGAACCAAGAACGTTGAGTTGAAGTCCTGGCCTTCGGTGTAGTGTTGGGCTTCTCAAGGGGCACCGGGCTCAAGGGTGAAGTTCCGGTTTAGGGTTTAGGGTTTAGGGTTTAGGGTTTAGGGTTTAGGGTTTAGGGTTTTTTTAGGCCCTTAGGCGGGCAGTTGCCCAAAGAAATTTCTCCCTGGTCCCTTCTTAGGGGTAAACAGAAGGCTTCGCATCAGAGTGGAACCGCGACAATAGAAGGGACTGACTTGGTAGCTGCCGTGAACGAGATGGGAAGGAGCTAAACGGACTGTTGGGCTTAGTTTTCGAATGGGCTGGAGGTTACGCCATGGATCTGCGAAGTGGCACTGAATCAGTTAACAAGCGGCCTTCTGCGGGTCCTACCATTCAAACCCTGAAGAAACCCCTTGAAAGCCTCCCCCCCCCCATCTTCTTATGAGTTTAAGTTTTTAAATGTTTCGGGGCTTAAGGCAGAGGATCTAGGAATTGTAGGGAGTTAGACAACGGGGGACTTCAGGGTTTGAGGGGTTCGTCTACAAAAATCATCTTTTGCATGGTCGCCCATGACAAAAACCTTATATCAAATCTGCACCTAGTTTGAGAAGACGGCCTTATACCCAACAACCCCTAAATTTCGCCTCTGAAACCCTCAAACCCTGAGCATCAAATCCCAAACCGTCATCCCTAAGAACCTTCTAAGACCTACACCTGAAATCACGACCTCCCCAAACCACACAGAAGCTGGGCTCGCGCACCCCACTGGTCTGTGCACTTCTGCTCCCACCTGTTCTGGCAGATTTAGGGCTTACTTGGAGGTTCAGGGTACTTATTCACCGATTATCACTGCACTTACCACCCATTTATAAGCCCCTTAAGTGCCCTACTCTGTTTCTAAGTTTGGTTATAAGTACGGTTATATTGGTTAATGCGTACCCTTAACCTTCAAGTATGGTTTAAGGTGCAGGTAGCAACGGCCTCAAAAGAGGGAGGCACAACGGGGGTAGTCCAACCGCGACGTTTAGGGTTTAGGGTTTAGGGTTTATAGGGTTTCGGGTTTGGGGTTTGGGGTTTGGGGTTTGGGGTTTGGGGTTTTGGGTTTGGGGTGTGGGTTTGGGGTTTTGGGTTTAGGGTTCTTAGTTCCCTATGAAACATGGAAAAAAGAGGTTGTGAGGTCTTTTTCGCTTTTATTCCTGCAAGATCGGGGCAACTAGATGCACTATAAGTCCACTCTACACCCGTTACACCTTAGCCTAAACCCTAAACCCTAAACCCCAAACCCCAAACCCCAAACCCCAAACCCCAAACCCTAAACCCTGAACCCTAAACCCTAGCCTGTGACGCTAAAGCCAGGCGCCCTCTGCTCCAGCACGTAACCCGCGAGCGGCAGGGCCAGGAGATTCCGAACCTAAAAACTCTAAAACAAGCCCTAAGCCCTAAGCCCTAAGCCCCAAGCCCTAAGCCAAAAGCCCCAAGCTCCAACCCCTAGACCCTAGACCCTACAGCCTAAACCCAAAACCCCAAGCCCTAAACCCCAAACACCCCGCAGAGTCCAGGCCCCTGGCTGCGCATTGCAGGGGCAGCCAGTGGCACTCGGCGCACAAAACTCCTGGTAGTCCTGTGGAAGGCTATGGGCTGAATGTAGGGGTTTAGGGTTTAGGGTTTAGGGATAGTGGTTTCCGACACTAGGGGAATCCTCTCGCTTTGGAAGCTTCAGCTGCTCCGCCATGTCACTTCTCAATAGCCAGATCTTCCGACACGGCTGAACTAGGGAGTAAACCCCTAAACCCCTAACCCCGAACCCCTTAACCTACTCCCTAAACCCTAAACCCTAAACCCTGAACCCTAAACCCTAAACCCTAAACCCTAAACCCCTAAACCCTAAACCCTACAACACAGTCAGATTTCTCTTTTCGAGGTTCTACCTTTCCTGATGGAGCGAGCCATTATGGGAAGGTCCAGGGATACTTCTACACCGTACATTCCCTAAACCTGAAACCCGAAAAACCCTAAAACTGATTTTTTGGGTTTAGGGTTTAGGGTTTAGGGCTACTTGGAGGTATGGCCGAAAGAAAGAGACCCACCGTACTTGGAGGTTCATGGGGGGGCTTATAATCACCCCAATTATAAGCCTACTGCTAACCGACTAAGACGACTTAGGGGGTTTATAAGTACACTAAACCCTGAACCCTAAACCCTAAACCCAAAAACTCCTACCTAAAAAACCCATAAACCAACCCTAAACCCTAAACCCTAAACCCTACACCCTAATTCCTAAACACTTTTATTTGGGGTTATACGTACCTATGAACCTCCCCGTAGACCCCGCAGGGTTTTGGGGGCTCGGCCCTAAACTCTAAACCCGTTTAGGGCTTTGGGTTTGGTTACAACGGTTTAGGGTTTAGGGTTTAGGGCTTAGGGTTTGGGGTTTGGGGTTTGGGGTTTAGGGTTCAGACCTTTAGGGAACCTTTACCCTTAAACCACTTGTTTGTGGAACTCGAAACCATGGACTCCCCTGAGGCCATGGCCGAATAGTTGTATTCACCAGTCCTTGGGCGCCCGCACCTAAACCCTGACACCCTAAAACCCTAACACCCTAAAACCCTACAACCCTAAAACCCTAAAACCCTAAAACCCTTAAACCCCTAAACCCTAAACCCTAAACCCTAAACACTAAACCCTGAACCCTACCCGGACCCCCTCTTTTGGTGGGGGAAACCTCCCCATAGCCCGGCCGACCCTGAGCATCGCGAAGTCCAAAGAACCCCTGAACCTGGTTTGCGGTTTAGGGTTTAGGGTTTAGGGCTAGGGCTTAGGGTTTAGGGTTTAGGGTTTCGGGTTTAGGGTTTAGGGTTTAGGGCTAGGGTTTGGGGCTAGAGTTTAGGGTTTGGGGCTTAGGGTTCCCTAAGCCTAGAAAAAACCTCAGGGCCCAGGTGGGTTCAGGCAGCCAAAGCACGCGTCGAAGCCGTAGCTGTGGCAGTATGTCTCGGTACCTTGGCTTCTGGGTTTAGGGTTTAGGGTTTATAGGGTTTAGGGTTCAAAAACTACTTCTTAACAGGCACGTTGAAACCCTTGTAGGGCTTCTTATGGGGAAAAAACATTGGAAGCCAGGTAGTCCCCAAATTAGATGTTAGCAGGTGCTTCCGGGCACAGGGAAGCCAAAGAATGCCATGGATGCCACTTTCTTGGGTTTAGGGTTTAGGGTTTAGGGTTTAGGGGTTAGGGGTTAGGGTTTAGGGTTTAGGGTTATGGGTTATGTCATGGGGCCTTTAAGGGATCAGCCTGCCAAAAGAGAAAACAGGCAACTGCTGGGCATCCTAGAACCTCATGCCTCCTGACGCTACTCCTTAAACGCCCACCGGAGATCGTACTCTTGGTCAGCTCTCTAAAAGAGACCAGGTATCTTGGGAGTAATGTAGGGGCTGCTTATATAGGTAGTGTGAGGTGTACCCTAAATACGAACACCCAGACCCTAAACTAAGGCCTTAAGGCCCCAAACCCCGCGCGAGACCCTAAACCCCACAACCCTTGAAGCTGTCAACGCCCTGAACACACACACACACTCTCTCTCTCTCACACTCACTCGAGGCTACTCGTGAAACTACAGAAGGAGAAGCCTAGAAACTTTAATCAACAGGACTGGTCAGTCGGTTGCCTTCTGAGCTGGTTCAATCGTGCTTTTCGTCTTCGCTCCTTGAGTGCCCGTCTCTCCCTCTCGTGACGGTCTCGTACTGTTTCCAACCTGTTTGTGCCAGAAGCACCACAAGATTCATGAACTGATAGGTGTGTCGCCTCCGTCATTGGCAACACTATTCCATAAATCCTACACCCTGAAACCTTAGAGCCCTGACGCCCCGAACCTAAAAGCTCTGGCGGGCCGGAGGCTGTTGCAGAAGAGGGGGCAGCTACCCCATGCTGGGTCCCAGCAGTAGCTGCTGTACTCGTCCTGCAGCGGGGTTTCGCTGAACCTTTCTCCCGGATTCCTTGGGGAGAGAGGGTTAAGGTTTAGGGGGGAGAGGGTTAAGGTTTAGGGCGTATGGGCTGAGGGGTTGTGGCTCGCTGTGGTTTTACCCCTCCCTAACGAAAGCGCACGCGCCGACCGTGGATAGTGTCTGGCTTCCTCATTGTAACCTCTACCGGGGCGCAAGCGCGGTGGTTACACTGACCGGCGCCTAAGGAGCAGGGCTTATAAGTTCAGGGTTCAGGGAGTAGGGTTTCGGGGCCTACCGAAGCCTATGTAGGGCTTCCTTTATTACAAATAAAGGAAGCCCTACACCTTTAGGGTTCAGGGTGAGCGGTCTCCTTAACCTCGAGCTTCCCGTTTAGGGCTTGGGGTTTAGGGTGAGAAAGCACCCTAAACCCTAAACCCTAAACCCTAAACCCTAAACCCTAAACCCTAAACCCTAAACCCTAAGCCCTAAGCCCTAAGCCTTTTTGCCAAGCCATCTGCAGGGATGTCTGAAGCGGAGCGTTGCCGTCGCATGGAGGAGTGTCGTTACTTTTTGTGGGTTTAGGGTTTAGGGTTTAGGGTTTAGGGTTTAGGGTTTAGGGTTTAGGGTTTAGGGTTTAGGGGTGTGTGCCCTCGAGCGTTTGCCGGACAGAACGTCTCTTGACATAGGCTTGCCCAGATCTGCCTTAAAGAAGCTGAATTATGTCCCAAAACCCCAAACCCTAAACTTTCCCTAAACCCCTGGGGTGTTCTGACAATGGCTTCAAGGAATGTTTCTTCGTTAAGCCATGTTGGAAACTTGAGCCCATTTGGCTTAAACCCTAAACCCAGATAACTCCTAAACGAGACACTCCGCAAGCGGGCAGCGCGTGTCAGAACCTGTAGGGACCTTAGCAGCCGCATCCCGCGATCACCTTGCGTCAGCAAGTGCACAGAAGCGGCTTCGGGGCTGATTCCCAGATCTTCCAGCATGCCTTAGCTACGTAAGGCTTTATATCCCCCACCTTGCGGCCACAACCAGAACTAGTTACGTCTTGGAGAGTCTCGAGTTGAGACGAAGCCACCTTAACTAAGAGAGCTGGGACTTAGTTGCTGAGTTCATAAGCACCACCACCACCACCACCACCACCACCACCACCACCACCACCACCACCACCACCACCACCACCACCACCACCACCACCACCACCACCACCACCACCACCACCACCACCACCACCACCACCACCACCACCCAAAAAAGTGTACACTTTCAGTTCCACAGGGATTATAGTATCCCAAAAGGTGTAAGTGTACTCACTCAGCTACTAAGTAAGAGAGTTGGGAAGATCTGGGGTTTGGGGTTTAGGAACAGCTTCGGGGACCCCAAAGAGACGGGCGCCGGGGCGGGGGGGGGGGGGGGGGGGGGGGGTGGGGTCCTTAAACAGTTCAAGCAAAGGCGGCTTCAAATTTTGCGGCTTTCTGAGCCACAGGAGGGCGGTGGTGCAGGCCACGAGATTTCAGCGGGTTTCGCTTTGAAAAGGGTTTAGGGTTTAGGGTTTAAGGGCTAAGGGTTTAGGTTTAGGGGATTCAGGGCACATCAGCCATATGGCCTAAACTTTAACTTCTGAAAGCCTACTCCACTGCGAGATGAACAAAGAAGGACCTCGAAAGGCCCCTCAAGGTGGGCTAGCAGGATGCCAGTCGCATGCTCCCCTGCCATGGATGAGGTCTCACATCCGTGACCCAGGGAGCACCCTAAACCCTAAGCCCTAAACCCTAAACCCTAAACCCTAATTTCTGGCCCCCGCGTGGCCGCCACGATGCTTGAAAGTGGAACTGCTTCGGTGCCTGGCCTCCCTACGCTTTTTAGGGTGTAGGGGTTAGGGGTTTAGGGGTTAGGGGTTTAGGGTTTAGGGGTTTAGGGTTTCGGGGTTTAGGGGTTTCGGGGTTTAGGGGTTTAGGGGTCAGGCTTTAGGGTTTAGGGTTCAGGGTGTACGGCTTAGGGGTTTAGGGTTTAGGGTTGGTGGTATCTCTCATCCTTTGAAGAGGACCTTAGAAAACCCTGTATGTCTAAACCCCTCCCCCCCCAGGAGCCCTAAACCCTAAACCCTAAACCCTAAACCCTAAACCCTAAACCCTAAACCCTAAACCCTAAACCCTAAACTTTTAAGGTTTAGCCCGGAGGGGCTTGAGGTTGGGAGTATCCCTTGGAAGGAGGACTACGGGATGTACCGGGGCTTCTTTCGAAAACCCTGTGACCCAGGCCCGCCCCCCCTCCCCCCCCCCCCCCTAGGGTTTAGGGTTTAGGGTTTAGGGTTTAGGGTTTAGGGTTTAGGGTTTCGGGTTTAGGGTAAAAAAACCCTAAGCCTCAAGCTTCCAAAGCCCAAAGGTTAGGGTTTAGGATTTCAAGCTTCGGGCTTCAAGGTATTTTGGCAAGGCTGCAGGATGTGTAGAGCTCAATCCTGGAAGCATCGCAGCCCGGTAGCCATCCTATCATCAGGGGACCCTTTTGGGGGTGGTGGTCTTTAAACAAGGGAACCTGTGACCAAGAAAAAGCGAAAACAGGGCACCACTGGCCTGCCAAGCTACCATGTCTTGCATGGCCCTAAACCCGAAACACTAAACCCTAAACCCTAAAGGCCCTGAGCTAAAAAAACTTGGGGGTCGGTAAGCTCTCAACGATTCCTCACATCTGCTGCTGAAGGGAAAATTGTGAAATGCAGAAGTCTAAGGGCCTACCCACACCCCAACCCCAACCCTGCTATTTGCTTAAGAACCCAAAAGAATCAAAAACACAAAAACCCCTATATTACCCTTAGTAAGGAAGAAGATATTCTAATTTTGGGGGGGTTCTTACGCAGTTAATAGAACCTCAACCCTAGTGAGGCCTGTCTTGAGCTTGAGCTTCAGACTAAAAATGCAAAACAAAGTATATCAGAAGATTTGTAGGGAGCTACGGTTATCCTAAGCAACTCGAAGATTACAAGCTGGGTAAGGAAAAAGTCTAACCCCATATCGCTGCCCAACATTTGGGATACCTTTGATACTTATTCCCCTAGCAACCCAAACAGCAGGTCATGAATATTAGTAGTCCCTTAGCTTCTGTGCAGACACGAAGAAGCAACACCCAAAACCCTAAACACTGAAACCTAATTCAAGAAATCCTAACTCGGTAGAGATGTCGAGCCGGACCCAGTGCCCGATTGTTCGACCGCCTACTGCTCCTTGGCTCTTTGTGCTGTGAGCCGCGTCTTCCGACTTGAGGTCCCTAGACCCGTTTAGGGTTTGGGGTTTAGGGTTTGGGGTTTGGGGTTGAGGGTTTAGGGCCCTAAGCCCTAAAGCCTAAACCCTTGAAACCCTAAGCCCTAAACCCTTTTCGGGGGCTTACACCTCTACGAAGTCATTCGAGGATTGGCCAACCCAAAGGCTGCTTTGTGGGAAACTCTCACCGCAAATTTAGGGTTTAGGGTTTAGGGTTTGGGGCCCCCTAAATGCTCGCAACCCCTCAAAGTCCCTGCACCAAAAGCCTCCAAGGTTGCGCGGCTAAGTCAAGCCACCACCTTGGCCTGAATCACTACCTCCTGCTTCGGCAGCTCATTCGTGTCATTGCTCGCAATGGCTGCGTGACGATCCTGACAACGCTGGGGTTGAGGGCTTAGGGTTTGGAAGGTTTAGGGTTGAGTGTTTAGGGCTGAGGGCTTGGAAGGTTCAGGGTTTAGGGGTTTAGGATGCTTGGGGACTTTGGATTCAGGATGCTTTAGGGCCGCGGGCAACTGCTGTATCCGGGGGAGGATACCCGACCAATGCCCAAAAAAGGGCACTCCGAGCGTCGTCTGCCATGCCCTGCCCCGCAATGACCTCTGCCTGCACGATCGCAGTTTGTGCTGCGATGCGGATGATGCGCCGTCTTTGCCGAGGGCCACGACCGCAATACCTTAGCAAGCTACTTGAAGGTTCAGGGTACTTACTAACCAAGTATAACTGTACTTATAACCCAAAAATACAACCATGTTAGGGCACTTGAAAGGGGCTTATAAGTGGGTTATACATACAGTTATACTTGGTTAATAAGCTCCCTGAACCTCCAAGTACCCTGGCCCAACAAGGCTCGAACGCAGCCTGCGAACAACGAATTGTCCAGAGCTCAGAACCTACATCTCTGAAAGAATGCTGAACCCCGAAAACCCTGAAAACCCTAAACCCTAAACCCTAAACCCCACACCCTAAATCCTCAACCCTAAACGTCCAATCCAGAAGACAAGCCCACCAGACCCACGTGGTAGTCGGCAGCAAAAGCCCCGTTGGTCAGGGAGCTGACTCCCTCGCACAGTTCCTCCAGCTGTACATCCAAACGCCCATTGAGACGCTTGATGAGCAGGTTGCCAGACACCTGGCAGGTTTAGGGGATTTAAGGGGGACACATTTGGGGTTTAGGGTTCATGGTGTATGTCAGTGTGCATTGCAGGCTCAGTGAAGGAATCGACCGTCTTGAGTCATCTCGGTGGCTATGATGGGTAGCAAACGCAACCCTCCACGTCCTACAACCCTCAACCGAAACCCACGCCCCTTGCTAAACCCGAAGCCCTAATCCAGTGCCCCTCCCCCCAAGACACCATCATAGCCACAGTCAGAGCGAAGCAGGCAACTTCAGAGACGAGCACCACGAGTGCCGCGCTGGCTTCCTCCTGTAGGGATGGATTTTGGACTCAGATATCCGGGGTTACTTCGGGTTGAAGGTGTAGGGTTTTTTGACGGGTACTTGAGCATGTAACGCTCCATCACTGAAGGCTCCTTGATTGGGGTCCAACTTTGGGCTAAACCCTCAGCCCCTAAACGCTAGACCGCAGTGTCCGGCTCCTCCTCGCTGGTGCCTCCAAGAACTCGCAGCACATTGATCCTCGGACTGAGGCTTAGGGCTGGATTGCCTAGCAACCTATGAACCAAAAGGTGCCCTGTGTTTTGTTTTTGCTTTAGAGGGCCTTGTAAGAGACACTATCCCTAAACCCTAAGCCCTAAGCCCTAAGCCCTAAACCCTAAACCCTAAACCCTACACCCTACACCCTAAACCCTAAACCCTAAACCCTATCCCTAGACAAGGGGGGGAACCAAGAGGCACTTCTGGGGCATCCGAGCATCCCGCCGCCCAGGATGAGAGGAAGCAGGCCGAAGGCCGGGAGCAGCTCGTTCCAGTACCTGAGCTGCACTTTGTTCGGGTTTAGGGTTTAGGGTTTCGGGTTTAGGGTTTACGATTTAGGGTTTAGGGTAAAACCCTAAACCCTAATCCCTAAACCCTAAACCTAAACCTAAACCCTAAACCCTACGCTCCCCCACCCCCCGCGACCCCGCTATGGATTCTTGTCCCGATGCCCCGCTTGGTTCAAACTCAAAAGTTACCACGGCATAGGCGCGGGCAGGGCACACAGTACGAAACAAGTGGTCACAGGGGGTTTAGGGTTTAGGGTTTAGGGTTTATAGGGTTTAGGGTTTAGGGTCTAGGGTCTAGGGTCTAGGGTTTAGGGTTTAGGGTTTAGGGTTTAGGGTTTAGGGTTTAGGGTTTAGGGTTTAGGGTTCAGGGTCCGCGCTGGGCGGTTCTTTTCATGCTGATGCTCCCGGCGAAGAAGATTGCAGCCATCAAGCTTTGGATTTAAGGTCTGAGGTTAAGTTGAAGGCACTAACCCTAAACCCTAAACCCTAAACCCTAAACCCTAAACCCTAAACCCTAAACCCTAAACCCTGAACCCCTGGCAGCAATCAAGCCAAACTGTTCACTGCAGCACTTGCCAGTAAACCCTCGACCCGAAGAAGCCTCATGCCAGCTCGTGGGACTCCTCTTTCTGCACCAAGCTACCCTAAACCCTGAACCCCAAACCCTAAACCCTAAACCCTAAACCCTAAACCCTAAACCCTAAACCCTAAACCCTCCCCTTCTGCACCTAACTGCCCTGCGGGCGACTGCCGGACAATGTTGCCAATCGCTGCGGCCAGATGATTCCTTGGTTGGCCACACTACACCCCGAACAATAGACCCTACTTGGAGGTTCATGGGTTTAGGGTTTAAGGTGTAGGGGTTTAGGGTTTAAGGTGTAGGGGTTTAGGGTTTAGGGTTTAGGGTTTAGGTTTAGGGTCATGGGTCATGGGTACTTATAACCCCAACTTGTACTTATAGGCCCCCTAAGTCCTCTGAGCAGGTCATAAGTACAGTTATACTTGGGGTTGTGTGTGTACCCATGAGCCCCTCAGACCCCAAACAAGAGACCCCATGAGAGGAACACACCAAAACCTCCCAAGGGCTTCCCTAGATTCCACACCGCGCTGTCCATTGACTCAAGCTGGGACGGCTTTGAGAACGCCTGCAGAGCTGGAATAGTAGGGTCTCGTCATAAGGCTCATCAGGGCTTGCAAGCTTGAAATCCAAAAGCCCTCAACCCTCAACCCTCAACCCTCAACCCTCAACCCTCAACCCTCAACCCTCAACCCTCAACAATCAGCCAAATTGGGGTCGAGGGATTTCGCGAGGCCTTGGGGAGGGCTTTCGGGGCTTTCAGGGCGATTCTTGTGAGCCCCCGAAGTCTTGCGGCGTTGGGCTCGGGCTTAGGGTTTTGGCGGTTGAAGTACAAAGGGTTTAGGGTTGAGGGTTGAGGGTTTAGGGTTTAGGGTGTAGGGTTTAGGGTTTAGGGTTTAGGGTTGTTCCCCCTTCTACTCACAGTCCTTAATCGGGATTATAGTACCCCCGATTATGATCCCCTTTAAGGACTGTCAGTATAAGGGGGAGCATTCCAAGTTTATGGCCTAGTTGCCGTGCCCTGTGCCAAAAAAGGTCAACCTTGCAATTATGGTAGGATTATGTGTATACCCCAAAAAGATGAAAGGTTACCTGCTCAGCTACTAGATAGCGTTTCGGGCTTCGGTTTTGGGGCTCACGGTTTAGCCCTAGTCCCCCCAAAACGCTAGACCCTACACCTTCCGCACCCACCCCTACCCCAAAAACAAACAAAAAAAACGCCAAGAGCAGGGCAGCTGGCGATGCTTCCCCCTTATCTACTAACAGTCCTTCATAGGGACTATGGTTCCCCCTTATGATAATCCCCATTAAGGAGCTAGTACATGAGGAGGGGAAACATCCCAAAAAACCAGGTGGCTGTCCTGAAACCGTGGCTTGATGATCGGGAAGTCGGAGGACGACTGTAAGGTCAGCAGCACGCCATCCTCGGCATGCTGGTGGGCTCTTGGAACGATGGGCTTCAGGCAGGGCTCAGGGCTCTAGGGGCCTAGGGGCTCAGGGGCTCTAGGGGCTCTAGGGCTCTAGGGCTCTAGGGCTCTAGGGCTCTAGGGCTCTGGGGGTTAGGGGTAAGGGGTTCGGGTTTAGGGCTTAGAGGGCTTGTAGTTTTTTTTGGCTGTAAGGGCCTGGGGTGACTGTTCGGTAGTCAAATGAGCACTTGGGCAAGAAAAACTGCGCGTGGGCGAAAACAACAGCTGCACCCCCCTTACCTTCTCCGGGTCTAGGGTTTCGGGATTACATGCAGGTTCCGGGTACTTTAACCCCAATTAAAACTGCACTTACAAGCCCCCTAAGTCCATAAGTACGTTATAAGTATACAGTAGACTTGTAGGAACTGGGGTTGTATAAGTACGTACCCGTGAACCAAGTAGGGTGCTCCGATCTACCTTCAAAGGCCCATGGACTGTCATCCCTATCGGGGCGCGAGGGGGGTGAAGGACTAATCCCTGGGTCGTTTATGGGGTGTGGGGTTTGGGGAGTGCTTGTTAGGGCTTGGGGGCTTAGGGTCTGGGCTTCTGCTGCATGAGTTTAGGGTTTAGGGAGTAGGGTCTACGTGTAGAAGTTCAGAACTACCTTCAAGAAGTAGCTTGGAGCTCGTCGGAGATCGACATCTTTTGATAAGAACGAACTTTCCAACCCTAAATCCTAAACCCTAAACCCTAAACCCTAAACCCTAAACCCTAAACCCTAAACCCTAAACCCTAAACCCTAAACCCTAAACCCTACCCAAACCAGGGCAAGACACTTTTGGCTCGCGCACGTCCACGCAATCCAGGCCCATGGCTTCGCCTACGCCTGAAGAACTGCGAGCCTTTCTCAAGTCAAGAAAAGTGAGCGGTTTAGGGTTTAGGGTTTAGGGTTTAGGGTTTAGGGTTTAGAGGGCTTGGAGGGGAACGGTTCGGAGTCACCCTCAACCTAAGCCCTCAACCCTTTGTGGTGTCAAGAGTGGCAGGGTTGGAGTAAGTTTTTGGGAGTTTAGGGTTCAGGGTCCAGGGTGCCCTACTGCCGGACCCTTGGAACCTGGCACTCATACTTAACCCTAAACCCTAAACCCTAAACCCTCAACCCTAAACCCTAATCTAGGCTGTCCAGGGTGTTGGTAGGCGTTGGCTGGTTTGTGGTTAGTTGGCCCCTGGGACCTAAATCCTCATAGGCACAGGCCAGCAGGCCAACACACAGCACCCCAACAAGCCCTAAACCCCAAACCCTAAACCCCAAACCCCAAACCCCTGCAACCCCTACAGTCCCTAGAGACCCTGGGGAGCGGTCGCCAGACCTGGCACTTGATCTCGGAGCCGGCGCACGTGATGTCGAAGGGGTCGTAGCCTAGAGTTCAGGGTTTTAAGGAGGGTTTGGGGTTCAGGGCTTTAAGGAGCTTTTAGGGTTTAGGGTTTAGTGTTTAGGGTTTGACCACTAGAAGGTCTTCTTCCCCTATTTCACCTAAATACATACCTTATATAGGCCCCAAAAACCTAAGTAGCCCCCCATATAAGCCCTAAATCACCCAAGAGGTTCCTTATAAGGGCCCCTCCTTTAGTCACTTGAGGGTTGCAGGTTATAGGGTTTGGGTTTAGGGTTCAGGGCCATCACCCCCCAAAAACCCAAATCCTAAATCCTACATCCTAAACCCTAAACCCTATCAGAATCCCTAGAATGATCCCTATAACCCCTAAACCCTGGAACCCTTAACCCGAAACCCTATAATCCCCTCGCAAAAGAACTCACGGGTAAAGGACAGTTGCCGGTGGGGCAGTTGGAGGGGTTTTGGTTTAGGGTTTAGGGTGTAGGGTTTCGGGTTTAGGGTTTGGGGTTTAGGGTTTAGGGTTTAGGTTTTGAGTTTAGGTCAGTCGCCTTCTGCGTCTCTTATGAGGGACGCTAGCCGTCCTGGTATTTGAGGCTTCACGAGGCTTCTTTCAGTTTGCTAGGTTGCCCTGCAATCTGAGAAGGAAAAGCGAGCCCTTTTTCACCTTCTGTACTAGAGGGGCTGTATCCCTCATTTCGTGCGGTTTACTTTGGAACTACGCAGGGATTCAACACCCTAAACCCCAAAACCTTGAACCGAATCCGAGCTTAAGGTAAGGGTCGTCCGGTCCTACACAGGCTCCGGATGCATTTGAAGCGACGTCTTTGGTCTGCTGAAGGTTCGGCTTGCCAACGTCCCACAGCTTGTTCGGGTTTAGGGTTTAGGGTTTTAGGTGCCATAATAGGTTTAGATAGTAGAAGGTAGCAAGAGCTGGCAGCCAAAGCCATGAGCGAAATTCAAATCCCCAAAGCCTTGAACCCTCAAACCCCATGCAGGTAGGGGGAGTGAAGGAACGATGTGGGGCGTAGGGGTAGGGCATCGGGAACGAGAGAGAGAGAGAGAGAGAGAGGTGGAGAGAGAACAAAGAGTGAAACAAGCAAGAAAGAAAGAAAGAAAGAGATGACAGACAGAAAGAAAACATTTTAAAGAAAGATAGAGAGAAAAAAACAAAGAAAACGAGAGAGAGCGAGAGAGGGAGAGAGAGCCAAAGAGTGCAACAGACACAAAGAGGGAGGGGGAAGAGCCAAAGAGAGACAAGGAATGATAGCGAGGAAAAGTGAAGGGGGAGTTGAGGCCGTGGCATCCGACGCTAATCTGCTCGCAGTACTTGTAGCCGAAGCCTGCCGAGGGTGGATTAACCCTATGCCCTAAACCCTCCAAATTTAGGGTCCTATACCTCTGGAGTGAGGGGGACCTTTGTTTAAGGACATGGGGCCTCGAATCGAGCTGAGGGTGGGTTTCAGGGTCGATTGTTTTTGTTTGGGGGTGGGGGGGGATAATATTCTGAAGCAGCCCAAAACCCTAAATTCTAGCCCCCCCAAAAATTCCCGTAGCTTGTGCTTAGAATAAGAATTTGGCCTGGTGGGAGAACCTTGTCGTCGTGTTTCCATGAGGGTCTTGGTGTTGAAGCCCTAAACACCTTACCTGAAACTAGGGGAAAGGGTTTAGGGTTTAGGGCTTGCGAAACTGTTGAGATGGTTCTGGGACTCCGGTGTGCAGGGCTCAGGAACTGTTTGCGAGCACCTGGTTCAGGGCTGGGGCTTGTCCCTTTGGGTCCCCCCCGCCCCCCCCCCGCCCCCCCCCGCCCGCCCCCCCCTCCCCCCCCCGCCCCCCCCCACGCCCCCCCCCCGCCCCCCCCCCCGCCCCCCCCCCCGCCCCCCCCGCCCCCCCCTCCCCCCACCCCCACCCCCCCCCCCCCCCCCACCCCCCAACCCCCCCACCCCCACCCGCCACCCGCCCGCACCCCCCCCACCCCCCCCCCCCCCGCCGCCCCCCCCCGCCCCCCCCCCCCCCCCCCCCCGCCAAAAAAAAAAAAAGCAACCAGGTAGCCCGTGATATTCCCCCTCATACTAACACTCCTTCAAATAGGGATTAAAATGGGGGTACAAAAAATCCCATTATTGGACTGTCGGTATAAGGGGGAACATCCCGAAGGCAAAGGAAGCAAATTCCCAAAGCACGAATTTGCAGCATCCCGCCGCCCATGATCTTAGCAGCGGCTGCCGGAATTCTGGCCAGACGGCCGCCGAAAGCGTGGCGGGTTGGCAAAAGCGCCCCCAATCTTCGCAATTGCCATCCATTGGACGCTCCCACGTATACTCACAGTCCTTAAAAGGGATTCTAGTACCCGCTAGTATATAGTCCTTATTAAGGACTGATAGTATAAGGGGGAACATCCCAAGCTATTGGCCACATGACATAATCGCAACGTGATCCTCGATCCTGGGTCGCCCCACACGCTTTGCCCGGCACCTGAAAACAAAGGGTTCCAAGAAGAAGGGCTACACGACCCAAAGCACCGGTGACCCTTCAACCCCGAGGGCTCGGGGGGGCGGTCTTGTAAAACCCGACAGTGTCTGTGAGGAGCTCTTTCAGGGTTTACTTCGGCGCCTAGTACCCTAAGTCCTAAAGTGGCCTGCTGGGCAAGGTCAAGGCTGCGCACGGGGAGAGAGACGGGCAGTCAACCGTAAACCCTTTCAAAGGGTTGTGGCCATCGATGGGGCGTGTCAAGCATTCGACGAACGGGACACATCCCTACACTCCGAAGGCCCAATCCTGCACCCCCAAATGCCTGAAACCCTGAAACCCTAAAGCCCTACAACTCCTAAACCCTGATGAAACACCTAAAGCCCTAAACCCAGATTAAACGCCTAAAACCCCTGAAGGCCCTCTCAGTTGCAAAGGGGGGTGGGTTGATTTTGCCGAGACCGCGGCTGTCGCATTCCACCTCGTACTGTGAGTTGCAGGGGCAGCCTGGCAACTTAGGCTATTGCGAACTTTAGGTTAGGGTTTAGGGCCTGGAAGGTCTTATGGGTTTAGGGCCTGGAAGGTCTTGTAGGCAAGGTTTAGGGTCTGGAGCTTGAGATTTAGGATTCCACTTCTGGAAGCTTGATGGGTAGCTGCAAGTGCGTCTAGCTGATACCTGTCATCAAGAACGTCGACGATGTTCTCGATTGTCTGAAGTGCGCACGCGAAGTCATAACCCTAAACCCCGAACCCTTACACCCCATTTGGTTCCGCAAGTGCTGAAGGTTTAGGGTGCCCCGGCAGAACGAAAAACAAAAACCGAACTACGAGGCCACACATTTACGCGCCCTTCATCGGAAGTTGGGGAGGTAGAGTCCCCCTACAATCCCTCACAGGCTCGGAGGCAATATTCTAGGGGCCATAGAATGTCTTCATGCCTATGATTCCAGAATCCCCTACCAAGAACCAGCGAGGAAAACATCTCCCTCAGCGGCTCCGCCAAAGACTCAAGTGTGCCTGAATGAAACGCACGAAGGCATCACCCAACCCCCCCCCCCCCTCCACCGCACGCCGAAAAGGGACGTCGTTAGACGCTGAATCGGGGTTTAGGGTTTAGGGTTTAGGGTTTAGCGTGCTCAAACAAGCCACTATGTCCCGCATTCCTGGGGTAGGTTTGGGGGCCCTTTAGAGGTTCAATTTTTCTGGCTTTATAAGGATTATATGGATGAAGGGTAGTAAAATTTACAATTATGTTCAAACCTACGCCCGATTCCATCAACACCACGAATCCCAAACTCTCCGCCAAGATCCTAATCTTGAAATCCTGAACATGACCCTGAAGCTGAAATCGCCCGCAATTGCCCACCCTAAACCCAAAGACCAAAGCCCTAATTAACCCCCAAAAACCCTAAACCCTGAACCTCCCACCTTCGTCGAAAGTCTTGCAGGTTGGCGACTGCGAGTAGGTGGCGTCCCAGTCGATCTCACCTCTGATGGCCGGTGAGTCGGGGGCATGGGTATGCGTGTATCGGGCTCATTTCTTCTGAAATTTCGCCCGATACGCGTGTATCGGGCTGCTTTCCCCCGAAAACACACCCGATACACGTGCATCCGGACTTTTTTGTTTTAACAATTTGGTTCCGCGTCGTGCTTTTTGAACGACGTGCTGCGTGGCCGCAGCCACTCCAGCTTCTCACGTGCCCGAGGTTCAACTTCGAGGTGCTCTGGCCCTCCCCTCCCCTGCCCAAGCCAAAGATGGCAGAAGACCTTAGCTTCGAGGAAACCCTAAACCCTAAACCCTAAACCCTAAACCCTAAACCCTAAACCCTAAACCCTAAACCGTGTCCAACCCGGCCCAGTAGCGAAGTCAGAAGGCACTGCTGACTGGGGGCTTCCAGAAAAGCAAGATGCACTGGCTGTGCCAAAGCTGAGCTGCCATGCCATGTCAATCCACACAATGCTGTGAATGAATCAAACAAATCCTTTATCATAAATCATGAATTTAGATGTGTGTGTGTGCGCGTGTGTGCGAACCAAAAAATGCCTTTAATTTCTTAAAGTTTTCCTGTTCGTCCATCTTATACACATGTTAGAAATTCATGTATAAAACAGTCTTTTCAAAACAAATCATGCGGGACACCTGTTAGATGTATCATTCAACCTGATTTTCTAAAATTCACTAAAAAATTTGTAACTTCTGTAACTTCTTGCAACTTCGAGCTAACTTCTTGAACTTGAAACCCATAACTGACTTATAACATCGTAACTACGGTTATAACTTCGCAAGAAGTTATCGGAGTTAGAGCCACTTATAAAGCAACTTGTTGGACTGATAAAGTGGGTTATAACCCCCTTATAACTAAGGGGCCAGTAAAACTCGAAGTTGCGTAACTTTCGGTCCGGAACGAATCAAGGGTTTTGCAGAGAACAGAGCCCCGCTTTTCAGCATCCAAAAGTCCATGTTCCTGGTGCGAAGCATGATTGAGCCTTGTCTGGTGCTAGACAGAATTGTCACCACCTCTGTTGCACAACTACAATCCCTGACCGCCTTCTCACACGCACGCGTCCCCAAAGGTCAGCGACAAGTGTCCCAGGCCACACATGCATCGTCTCACAACATGAGTTGGGCTCAGCCCCAAACCCTAAACCCGAAACCCGACACCCTACACCCTAAACCCTAAACCCCAAATGGTAAACCCTAAGCCTGACCCGTAAGCCCAACAAAAATCAATCCGAAGCCCCTACGTAGGGTTCATCCTGCCCAGACCGCAGACCACATGAATTTCCCACCTAAACAAAAGCAAGCCCGATACCTGTCCGAAAACAACCATAAACAAATGAAATATCTCTGTGTGTACACATATATATATATATATGTATATACATATATTATAGCTATTCATGAATTTATGTATTTCTATCGCCCCCACCGCCGCCCGCCCGCCCCCGCACCAAGGGAAACCAAAGTCTGGGGCTGGGTCCGTTCGCGTAGACGTTGAGGTAGCAGTACCTCGGCAGCCAAGGAAGCCAAACGTTTTGGTTCAGGGTTCAGGGTTTAGGGTTTAGAGTTTAGGGTTTGGGGCTGAGGGTTTGGGTCTAGGGATTATCGGGCTCGAGTCTCATGATTGTTCAGGGGCTCTTCTGTCCCTAACCCTCAAGCTCCCAGGCTTTGGGGATTGCCACCGAAGGCTAGAACCAGCTGGAAGAAGAACCCTACTTGGAGGTTCAGGGTGCTTCTTAACCAATTATAACTGTACTTGTAACCCACTTTAAGTGCCCTAATAAAGGGTATGATTTGGGTTGTAAGTGCAGTTCTAATTGGCTAATAAGTACCATGCACCTTCAAGTACTTGGAGGTTCAGGGGTACTTCAACCCTATGGGGCGGTGGGGGGCCCTAGGGCTTGCAGGGCTTGTAGGCTTTACAAGCAGGGGTAAAGAGAAAGAACCCCAGTGATAATCTCTCCAAAAAACACCCCTTCTTTGCAGAACTCTCAACAACTTCCTGAGCCTTTAATAAACTTTAATACATACCCCCGAACTGCCGTGTAAAGCCTCTGCCCCAATTCCCGTCCCTGTCAGCAGCCTATGCACCCGAACAGTCCGAATCTGCCGTGCCAGCACATGCTGGGCCCATACCATTGGAGCCCCGTTGAATGCTTTCGTGGAAAGGCCCCTACTGGCGCCCTGGATGTACTTGCAAGACCCCAAACCTCGCCGCATTTCAGTCAGCAGTTCTGGGTGGGGAGTAAGTGCGTAGCTCTAAACCCTGGCATGTCTGGGCGGCTCCCGGCGGTGTCCTCACAGCGAGTTCAATGGGTTTCGTGCACAATCTCGAACATGGGTGCTAGGTGCGAGATGCAGCGCCACCCAAAAGTCCCCTGCGAGTGAGGGGGCGCTGTCTACTTGCGTGCAACTTCAGCCGCTGCGCAGAGGACGCCCTCACCCTTAAGAACCCAAAAAGCCCCAAAAACCCTGAAAAACCCTAACTATCCCAATAACCCTCAGTCTTCGAACATAAACCGCCCTAAACTCTGTAATTCTACGGCCCTCTGAAGCGTTGCCGCTGTTTAGCCCTATACTCCCCCTAAACCCTAAACCCTAAACCCGAAACCCTAAACCCTAAACCCTAAACCCTAAACCCTATAAACCCTATAAACCCTAACGCCTAAACCCTAAACCTAAACCCTAAACCCTAAACCCTAAACCACAAGCGCCCAAGGCCGCCACTGCTCCTCGCAGTAGACGTTGTTGCCCCCGCCATAGCCGCCGGAGTTCGAGCCTGTGGGGCAGACTTGGGTTTAGGGTTTAGGGTTTAGGGTTTAGGGTTTAGGGTTTAGGGTTTAGGGTTTAGGGTTTAGGGTTTAGGGTTTAATTGGGGTTTAGGGCTTAGGGTTTAGGATGGCTTAGGATGGTTTAGGGTGGTTTAGGGTTTAGGGTTTAGGGGTTAGGATTAGGTTCAGGGGGGAGAGGGGGCTTAGGGTGTTAGGGGGTTTGAAGGTGGTCATGGATTAGGGTTTAGTTTAGGGTTTAGGGTTTTAAGGGCTGATGAGCTCCGCTGGCCTACGGGCTTTTGGCATTTTGCACCTGAGTTGCGGGGTTCGGGATTTAAGGGATGCCCCTTGTGACTGGCCTCTTGGGGGACGGGTGTCGAACTTGGATATGCATGTACGCATACATTCGTCCAAATACCGCTGCACACAAGTGTCCATGAACACTCAAGAACCCTAAACCCTAAACCCAGAGCTTGTTGGGGTCTCACCTCACCACCAATTTCTGGCCCAAGCTGCTGCCAACAGAGCCGGACAGCTTGGAGAATCCATACCCCGTTTTGAAAAACTGCCCTAACAACTACGCCCTCAGTCCCCTCACAGGATTTGGGTCCCTTGTACTAGCAGTCCTTTATAGGGATTCGAGTACCCGGAACATCCCAAGATTCGGGTTTAGGGTTTAGGGTTTAGGGTTTAGGGTTTAGGGTTTAGGGAAGTTTAGGGTTTAGGGTTTATCCACATATTTTGGCTTCCAATGGCAAGGTCTATTCCACAATCCAATGCCAGGCTGCCGTCATCATCATCCGGGCCGCCCTGTGGCAGTTCGGACCCTAAACCCTAAACCCTAAACCCTAAACCCCAAACCCCAAACCCCAAACCCTAAACCCTAAACCCTAAACCCTAAACCCTAAACCCTAAACCCTAAACCCTAAACCCTAACCCCTAACCCCTAACCCGTAAACCAGACCAGGGACGCATCCGGGTTGAAGCAGAGCAAAGGGCTTTTCCCTTAAGAACTCGACTTTTTAGGTAACCTACAAAACAAGAATGTTTAGGGCAGTTTAGGGTTTAGGGTTGTGGCCCCAATCTACGACGACACCGTTCTGGCTTGAACGTGAATACTGCCCTCCCCTCCACCCCCCCCCCCCCCCCCCCCCCCCCCCCCCCCCCCCCCAAACCCTAAACACACTCCTCCCCCCCGCCCCCCACCGCCCCCCCATCCCCCCACCCCCCCCACCTGGAAGCCATTGCAGGTGGCCCTAAACCCTAAACCCTAAACCCTAAACCCTACATCCTTCACGCAATCTCCCTACACCCTTTTTGCATCCAGACTTGGGCAGTGCCAGGAATGGAAGTTGCGGCTCTCAATGCAGCCCTAAACCCTAAACCACCCTAAACCCTAAACCCTAAACCCTAAACCCTGAACCCTAAACCCTAAACCCTAAACCCTAAACCCTAAACCCTAACAATCCAAAGATTCTTTAAAAGGGATCCTAGGGAGCTCGGCCTCGCAGCCAATGTGCGTCGGGGCGCAGTACGTCAAACCATCGCTGGTGCACTGCACCTTCAGTGGGTTTAGGGTTTAGGGTTTAGGGTTTAGGGTTTAGGGTTTAGGGTTTAGGGTTTAGGGTTTAGGGTTTAGGGTTTAGGGTTTAGGGTTTAGGGTCAGGAGGTGAGTAGGGCTTAGGGAGTTTGGGGTTTAGGGGTTAGGGAGTGAAGGTTTAGGGTTTTGGGTTTAGGGAGTTTAGGGGGGGTTGAGGGTTTGGGGCTTGGTGTTTACTAAGCCCTACAAACCCTATGCAATCCCAATCCCGGTAAATGAACCCAAAACTCCGTGAACTCCCTTAACTCCCTAAATAGTGCTCTGCCCAGGGTTTCGGTTTTAGGGCTTACTTGGCACACCGGGACGGGATTTCCAGGTTGGGGGTTTAAGGCTTCGGGTTTTAGAGTTTAGGGTTAGGGTACGCATGGTGTAGAAACTGTGGTTTTTGGTCGAGAGTCGAAGAGCATCGTGTCTGTTCTTGGAAACACTTGGAGTATGATTAATGATTCTGGTCCACTCAAGACAAAGAACAAAAAAGCTTAAAAGAACGGCCCAGGAAATTACTTGAACGCTTGTGGGCAGGAAGAGGTGGGGGTGTACTTGCCCTACACACCCCCGGTTTGGGGGCTTTAAGTTGAAAGGGCTTCTTACGCCCGAATCAAGCCCTACACCCAATCTCAGCTTCCCCTGTCGCCCAAGACTCGACAGCCAACTGATAGACTTTTGGGGGGGGGGGGGGCCCAATTGCCTCAGTCCATCTTCAGAGGGGTTTAGGGTTTAGGGTTTAGGGTTTAGGGTTATACCTGAAAAAGCTCCTATGCGGCCACCACAAACCCCTAAACCACTAGCCCCTACATCCTTGGACCCTCAACCCGACCTTGGGGGAAAAACACAGAACACACCTTAGCTCACCCTAAACCCTTTTTTGAGCACGGACTGAGGAAGCTGCCGGCAACCTGATAGCAGAGCCTTCCCGCGATTCTATACAAGCAGGGGATGCAATCACAGGTGTGACTTAGGTAGAAGGGGTCTCCCTACGCTCCCTTCTTCTCTTCTCCCTGAATGCCTGTTTCTCAGCCAAGCGTTCATCCTTGAGGTAAGTCAATGCGCAATCAGGTGGTTTTGCTGGAGTTCTCAGCGAATCATCCGAACTTTGCATGCTGCCTGTCGACGACCGTAAAGCTAAGCACGGCTCAGTGAGATGAGCTGGCAATGCTGCGGAAGTGACAGCCTCGAGAGCAGACGTGGACTCCGTGGAAGATCGCTGTAAACCTGATAGACTTCGCTGGAGATGATCGAGTTGCTCCTCCACCATCCGAAGGGCAGCCTGCGTCTCCTCTGTCACCCTCTCGGCAATGCTTTTGCATTCGTCTTCAGTGTACAATATGGAGGAAGTTTGGGTGCTAACATCACATCCTGAGCTGGGCGTGCCATCATGCACTTCAATCCCGAGGCTCTGCGCGAGTGAAATGATCTGTCCTCCTCGTACATCGCGTGAGCCAACCATAAGGTCTGCTGGCCTGTGCGTGGATGCTGAAGAGCTTGGCTCCCGAATCTTCAATGAATACATCGCGCTCCAGAGCTGCTCCACCGTTTCGCTGTAGTTGGCACGCTTAGTCAGGCGGATGCTGTAGGCAATGCATGCCATAATTTTCTTCTTCTGTGGAGCCATGCGATCAGACATGCGAGCGCCTAATTAAGGAACACGTGCACACCCGCTAGGGTCTCGTAGCCAAACCTTGAGCCAAATAAACCCTAAACCCTAAACCCTAAACATGGACAAGTGTCGAACGTCAGCCTTTTGTCTGAGTTACTGGACGGGGTCAGGCAGCTCCCTGGGCTGAAGCCAGAAACCGCAGAAGCCCTAAACTCTAAACCCTACACCCTGAGCCCGGGTAAAGCCCTAAACCCTAGACCCCCAACCCCTAAACCCTAAACCCTAGACCCTAATCCCTAAGCCCTAACCCTAAACCCTAAACCCTAAACCCTAAACCCTAAACCCTAAACCCTAAACCCTAAACCCTAAACCCTAAACCCTAAACCCCAATCGGCCCTGTGCCTCGGTATCATAGCAGGCGCACCCACTCGAGGATGGAGAGCAGAACAAGTGCGTGAGGCCCTTGAAGAGGGCTCAGGGCTGAGGGCCTAGCTAGACTCCGCTATTTAGGGTTTAGGGTTTAGGGTTTAGGGTTTAGGGTTTAGGGTTTAGGGTTTGGGTCCGGTTTGGGGCTAGGGTTGGGTTCAAAGGGTTAAGGGTTAAGGGTTGACGGAAGCGATCGTACTGGTGTAAACCTGGTGCAGTAGCTTCTGACACTGCATCTTCGACATCATCACGATCAGCATCAGCTGCCACTTCGATGTTCCCGATGCGACCCTCCGGAATGACCCTTCTCGTCAACTTCTTGTCGTCTTCTGGATCTTCGCCTCCCTTCCGTGATGGCCCCTTCTTGACCAATGCGTTGAACGCGTCGTCAAGCATAACTTGCATCACATCATCCCAACTGAATGGGTCATCATCGAGTTCGCGAATTGTAAGGGTTTAGGGTGTAGGGTTTCGCGTTTCGGGTCTTTTTCCACCCGCCAAGCACCCAAACACTGCGCGGTAACATTTCGGGATGAGTGCCTGTCACTCTTTAAAAATGGCCACGAGTTGAAGGAGGATTGGGAGTGGAAGCATGCGAATGCGCGTGCACCAAGCATGGGCCTGTTGCTCATGCCAGTTTAGTATGATGTTCCTGCCTCACCTCCTTGCACTTCTGGTTCTTTCCGGGATTACAACACGAAAGGTTTTGGAAGGCGGTCGTGCCCCCCGATTGTAACACCCCCCCCCCCCCCCCCCCCCCCCCCCCCAGGCCAGGATTCACCTCCCAAGGGTACCTGGGTTTAGGGTTTAGGGTTTAGGGTTCAGGGTTCAGGACCCTAAACCCTATTCCCTAAACCCTTCACCCTAGGTCTTCAGGGCACTCGTCCTTCCATACATGGCCTCTTGGTGCTGAGCTGGGAACTCCCCGGCTAGGTTGTAGCATAGGCCGGTTCATAAGTCGGAGTTAAGATCCTAAGTACGTGTGGGGGGGAAGTCCACGGTCGTCAGAACCGCATGTTCCTGTCCGATGCAATCGTTGCCATCTTTGGGCAAAAACCCTAAACCCTAAACCCTAAACCCTAAATCCTCAACCCTAAACGTGTACACTGAACTAGAAGGTGGCTCAAGCCTTTATGCTGCCCCCCCCCCCCCCCCCCCCCCCGAGCACTGCTTGCTGTTTACTAGTGGAGCTGAGCTAAACCCTAAACCCTAAATCTTAACTCTAAACCTTAAGCACCCGAACCCCCCCCCCCCCCCAAGAGATCCAACTGTACCCCCGATTGCGGGCCAGCCCTAAACCCTAAACCCTAAACCCTAAACCCTAAACCTTAAACCCTAAACCCTAAACCCTAACCTCAAACCCTAAACCCTAAACCCCGAACCCTGAACCCTGAACCCTGAACCCTGAACCCTAAACCCTAAACCCTAAACCCTAACCCTAAACCCTAACCCTAAACCCTAAACCAAAACCCTAAACCCTATTGCGGGCCAGCTTCGAGACCTGACGGGCCGTAGTGCGTTGCATAGATCCGGAAGCAGAGGATCCTCCGCATCGTGGGTTGAAGGAGTTTAGGTTTAGGGTTTAGGGTTTAGGGTTTAGGGTTTAGGGTTTAGGGTTTAGGGTTTAGGGTTTAGGGTTTAGGGTTTAGGGTTTGGGGTTAGGGTTTAGGGTTTGGGGTTTGGGGTTTGGGGTTTAGGGTTTAGGGTTGGTTTCGGGTTCAGGGTTTAGGGTGTATATAGGGTTTAGGGTTAGGGTTTAGGGGTTTAGGATCTAGGGTTTAGAGTCTGTCTAGTACAGTAACAATTGGGTTATAAGTACCCTGAACCTGCAAGGCCACCAGAGGCTGTAAAAAGAGCTGATGCGGATTCTCTGGGGCGACTTAAGTATATGGGGACGATGTGGGGTGTGCGTTTCTTTCTGTGTATGCCCGTGCGTCTGCCGTTCTATGAGGAGTGGTCCGAACTTTTATGTAAGAAAGGGGTCGGAATAATCAATAATAGTATTTTCTTCTGGTCCCTTTTTCATGATACTACAATACGTCCAAAAACCCTGTTCTAATTATTAAGGCCCCCCCCCAAACCTGAAAACATCTCATGGTTCTAGAGGGGGCAAATCAATGACCGCTTCAGATTGCTGATGACGGCCTTCCCTAGGCCCCTAACCTTACACCCTCAACCCTAAACCCTGAACCCTAAATCCTAGACCCTAAACCCTAAACCCTCAATCCCAAACCCTAGACCCTAAACCCTAAATCCCAAACCCTAAACCCTAAACCCTAAACCCTCAACCCCAAACCCTAAACAAAAATTCGGCTTAGGGTTGGCCCCTCTCTTGGAGTCTCGGTTCTCTAAGAAGCCAGGGATATATGGTTTTTTTTGCCACCCGACTAGCCACATGGTTTAGGGTTTAGGGTTTGAAAAATGAGCACCCGACCCCTATATTCGGAAACCCCCCATATATGTTTGTGTGTGTGTGTGTGTGTTGCAAAACCCTGCCACTGGACCTGGGACAGCAGCATCGAAGCCTTGTGCTCGGAAGGCCCCCTAAACCCTAAACCCTAAACCCTAAACCCTAAACCCTAAAACCCTAAGGTTTAACATGGCCGAGAGTCTCGTTCGCATTGCAGAGCCCCCCACCTGGCGTGGCAAGTCGGCAACTATAATCCTTTCAGGACTGTTAGTATAAGGGTTTAGGGTTTAGGGCTTAGGGTTTGGGAACATCCCAGATTATAATAGACCCAGGAGTAAGCTAGGAATAGATTTCTTTCCTAGGTCACTCCTGGATCCCTTTTTGGCTTTAAGGGGATTATCAGGGAACCCCAACCCCAAAAAAAGTAAATAAAGGCCTATTCCGGTCCTAGTAAATCTATGGCGGGGGAAACTACCCACCTCGAAAGGGCCTAGACGATCTAATACTAACAACAGTTGTACAAAACAACACCGGATACACCAACACCAACAACGGCAATATCCAAAACTACGCAAATAAAACGTAGTCAGCATGATCGTCCGATGAACCTTCAAACGTTTAACAACTCAAATCGCAAATATGCCCTATCAATACCTTCAACAAAAACATGCTTGACCCAATTGATCATCAGTTCTTTCTATTGTATAAACATTTTGGCAAACATTGCCACTCTCTCCTCCTCATTGGGTTTCCTCTTCCAACCCTAAACCCGAAAACCGTAACCCCTAAACCCTAAACTCTAAAGAGTTGTTTGACTTCATCGCCGGTGCCTAGGTCAAGATAGACCCAATTCTGCTTGGCATTCATATCTGGGTTGGCCTTTAAACACCCTGGAAAAATATTTTTTATAGGGCCCCTTATAAACCCAAATAAGGAAAATATAAAATGTCCCAAAATCCAACCTAGATATTTAAATGGAGTTTAACTTTTATTTCTGTATTCGGTTTTCTGGCATCCTTTGGGGTGAGACCAGTCGCCGAATGCTTCAATTGATTCTTATATGTTCAAAATATCTTAACCTGTCCACTGGACATTGTCTTTACCCTTTTTCTCATCAGCCTCAACGCGGCGATAGAACAGATCTCTGAATGTCCGAATAGCTCTCTCACTGAAATTTGGCTGTGACCTAGTTCGGTGGTGCTCGATGTCCTGCTCCTGCAAATACTTTTTATTGCCTCCTTCTTCGTTGCCCCCTCGTCATCTGCATACGTTACCTTTTTTTTGGCTTCTTCCCCATTTTATGTAAGCAGTCCATCATCCCACTGGCTAAATATTTGTTGTTTCTTCTTCTTCTTCTTCTTTCTCACCTTTAATCGCCACCACATGCATAAGTTTATAAAAGATGTCAATCATTTTCTGATTCTTTAGATAAAAGCAGTTTAAAGGGATCGTGTTACTAATATTCGGAAGATGTAGACATCAAATGCGCAAGATGGCACAGTAAACGACCTGCCGAAGAGTTCGGTTTTTCTTGATTGGGGCAACCTTGGCGCAACTGCATAAATTTCAGAGCAAAAAGGAAAGAATGCAAGAACACGAAAGTAGTAGAAGACAACCAGAAGATAACAACCTGAAATACAAGAGTGCTTGATCACGTTGGACAGCTGTCAATGAATGATCTGTTTTTGGAGAGCTACTTTATGGTATTTGGCAAGCACAAGGACAGAGTAATGATTGACATACCTGTTGATGACAAACTAGAACACACACACTAATGCTTCTTATGCAATGACGCTATGATGTAATCATAACACATAAGCACTTATATAATTACGTTGGGGTTACAACACTTAATCCTAAACCCTGAACCAAATTCTATAAGACCCCCCCCCCCTGCCTAGGAAGCGCATTGCAAATACATCGCTACCATACTTTGGGTTGGGAATGCTTGAAGTCGTTCAACATGGGATTCCCTTGTGGCGGACTGGTGTGCAGGGAGCCAAGTGGATGTGCAAATACTTTGAGGTTATGTTTTGGATCGTATTGTGAGTTGGGTTTGGCTCACTGGCCCAAAACCCAAGGAAATAAAAGTTGAAACTTTCAGAATATACTACCTTATAAGAAGCCCAAAAGTTGAAAAGTTGGGTTTTGAGCCAGTAAGTTGGTAAAGAGTCAAGGTGGGTTTTGTGGAGGCATAAAGTTAGGCTCTTGTGGTGGGCTGTCCTAGGATTGGGGCTGAGATCTTAAGATAGATTTTATCCTATGGTAGGGGCTGGGTGCCATACACCTACGCTAAACCCTAAACCCTAAACCCTAAACCCTAAACCCAAAACCCAAAACCCTAGCCCTAAACCCTAAACCCTAAACCTTTGATAAAAAAAAAAAAACCGAAGCGTGCGGCCTCCCGAGCAGTCCGAGGCCCCACAGTAGTCTTGGAACATGCCTCGACCTGGCATGGCTTTCGGTTTCTAAACAGCCCTAAACAGCCCTAAACAGCCAACCCCCCTAAACCGAAACCCTAAACCCTAAACCCTAGACCCTAAACTCTACCTAGTCTGGACATTCTTACTTCTGGCTCGCAGAGGCTCCCAGAGCGCTAAGCCTTTCAGGCGCCGAGATGGTTTTCAACCCTATAGGCCCACATCACATGGGCCTCTGACTACCTTACCTATATGGTCGGTTCTCAAACTATGATCCCTACTGGGGTACCCTACATGTTAGGGGCCCCCTTATGGAGAGCAACTTCAAATGGGACCATAATTTAGAGAAGTGACAATCTAGGTTTCAACTGGGGAGCCAGTAAGACTGCTATGGAGAAATTCTTGTCGCGGGCTCGATTTAGGACCAACCCTCAACCCTCAACCCTCAACCCTCAACCCTAATCTTTCGGATAACTCCGCAGCAAAGAACCCCAAAACAACGTTCCTAAAGTCTTAAGGCTCGCGCAGGTTGTGTAGTTGGCACCGCACTCCACGGTGTGCTTGCTGCCGTCCTCACATCCACCAAGCCCAAAATCCAACAATATATTAACATACTTTCTGGTTTTTTACTAAACCCAAAATCCAACAATATATTATTATACTTTCTGGTTTTTTACTAAACCCAAAACCCAACAATATATTAATGTATTGCAATCATGCAAAGAACATAAGATTTTTATGTACATCGTACAAAGCTTATACGGACCCTGAAGTCTCCACAAGCGTTTGCTTTCGCCTCGGCTTTCAGCCTAGTCCCGACTCCGGCACCCACTAGCCCTTGAATTCTGGGGATCCCTGAGTACACCTAGCCACCAAGGTCGCAGACCAGATCCCCCTAATACTAAGAATCCTTGATAGGGGGTACCATAATCCCCATTAAGGAGTAATCCCCATTAAGGAGTCTACTCGGGCGTACCTTAATCCTAAGAGTCCTTTAGCGCAAGGGGGAACATCCCGACTCACGGAGACGAAAGCCAGCAAAACGAACAGGTGTTGGAGCAGGCTATCCACGCAAAGCAGGTGGGCATTTCATCTTTTCCCAAACAGGGGTCCCCCTTCTTTACCCCAAGTAGATTAGAATCCCCTTCAAGGGGGCCCCCAAAAAGGGTACACTAAACCCAAAACCCTAAACCCTAAACCCTAAACCCTAAACCCTAAACCCTAAACCCCACCTGTGACTCACGTAGGACACCTCGCCGTCTCCCCCGAAATCTGGGGCGGACCACGGACCCCTCGAAAAAAAAACTCCAACGCAGCCCTCCTAAAGAAAATCTCAACCCCTGAAGCCATAGCAGCCCCAAGATGCCCCAAGTCTCAAAGCCCATATGCTCTGCAGTCTATCTCCCATCTGATACATCAACGTTCAAGGCGTTTTCTAGATTTCGGGCCTGGGCAGCGAACTCGCGGCATTTAGAACAACCCTTCTACCTTTATGAAGTGGGCAAAGAAGGGCTCAGGCTTTCGGGCTCAGGGTACCAAAAGGTGCTTGTAAGGGAACGTAAACCCCAAAGTAAGGGCCTACTCTTGGTCCTAGCTTCGAATTGGGATACTGGGGTGCGCCTTCAGAGCAAACGGGAAATCGCAGGACAAAACCCCGCCTCTTTTTTGACGAAAGCCCTAAAACCATATAAACCTTGCGATGTTCCCCCTTATACTAACCGTCCTTGATCGGGATTCTAGTACCCCCCCCCCCCCCCCCCCTACTATAATCCCTAAGGGGGAACATCCCAACATACACCCTAAAAGGCAGGAGATGCTAAATAGGGCTTTGGCTCTGAAGTCTAAAGCCTACATGCCTGAAGCCCTACACTTAGTTGCGAGTTCATAAGCCCCCAAAAAGTGTACACTGTCAGTTCGAGAGGGGATTGTAGTATCCCAAAAAGTGTGAAGTGTACTCATTCAGCTACTAAGTACATACACCAGTTATTCATGAGGAGTTGGGGAAGTACCTTATGTCCCCCCGTGTTTGAGCCTTTATCTTTGTAACCTGACTTTCAACATCCCTGTCACCAGCACCCTGAAGCCTAACTCCTAAACCTTGTTGCAGCTGGGCTACCCCTAAACCCTGTAAAACCTAAGCCCTCAACCCGAAACCCTAAACACTAAACCCTAAACCCTAAACCCTAAACCCTGAACCCTAAACCCTAAACCCTAAACCCTAAACCCTAAACCCTAAACCCTGGCCTTCTGCAACTTTGGGGGCCCATGGGTGCCTCTCTCATCTCTCAGCTTTCTGATCCCGGGAGCCCGAAAACCCTAAACCCCCAAGAGCCCCGAACCCTAAACCTAAAACCCTAAAACCCTAAGACCCTAAACCTAAAACCCTAAAACCCTAAAACCTAACCCCCCATATACATGTATATATGTATATTTGTATATATATGTATATATATATATATAGAGAGATATAACAAAATGAAGAAGAGCGGTGCGAAGCGAAATGTTAGCACCTGCATGCACATGCAGCCAGGACTCCACTGGATATCCTGGCGCGAGTACGAGTTTAGGGTTGCCTACACCCGACAAACCCTACCCAATCTTCGAACCCAGCTTTGAAGGTTTAGGCCACACCAAGCTTACTGTTCAGTTTGCATGCTTTTAGGACTTCGTGGCTCATAACGGCACATGGGAGGCAAGGCACCAAGCAACACCGTAGAGGGACTGTCTTCTCTTTCTCTGCGTTTTGGTGACGGCTAACAGGGTGAATGTGAGTCAAAAGGCTTGGGTTTCGAGGGGTGACGCATGAACGACACTTAATACTGCGGTTGGGGTCCCGAGGGTGGGTTGTTCACTGTGGTCTAGCTCTTGGAAAGGTGGATTGACTGCCAAGCGTGAATAGATGATTGGTACGGTCTTATAGTTAGGGTCTCAAGGTGTGACAGGGAGATTCCGGAAGGTTACACGCGTTTGGGGTCCCGAGGGTGGGTTCTACGGGCTAGTACTAAATCCGTGAGCTAGACCAGATGATACGGTAAGACAAGGGTATCAACGGTTAGACCAAGATATGAGAGTTAGGGTCTCAAGGTGTGACACAGAGATTCCGGAAGGTTAGACAGGCGGTTGGGGTCCCGAGGGTGGGTTCTACGGGCTAGTACTAAATCCGTGAGCTAGGCTAGATGATACGGTAAGACAAGGGTGTGAGTTTGGGGGTTTGGGTAGCTACTGGCAAGCCACCTCAGCCCATTGTGGCTCAAAGTGCCCTGAGTACCCTACGCAACCTCTACGAAATGGAGCCGGCTAGTTTGGGGCTTAATGTTTAGGGTTAGACTTCACTTGAATCCCACCTTTATGAGCTCTTCGAAAAGAATGCACAGGTCAACCGAGTTGTGTAAGCGTTTCGGGATTTGAGGGATTAGGCGAGGGCCTGCGAGCGTTTTGGAGCTAACCCAAAACGGCAAATGATACCTCTTCAACCGAGAGGGCTGACAGGGTTCCTAAGCCCTAAACCCTAAACCCTAAACCCTAAACCCTAAACCCTAAACCCTAAACCCTAAACCCTCCACCCGCTGTCCTGCACCCTGGCAGGCTGCGTCGTCAATGCTGAAGCTGGTCTCGAAGTCGGTGCCCAAGAACTGGGCAACCCGGGGCCCTAAACCCTAAACCCTAAACCCTAAACCCTAAACCCTAAACCCTAAACCCTAAACCCTAAACCTAAAACCCTTCAGCTCAAATGTGTGGGGGGATGTGTAGATCCCCTTCCCCTGCGCGGAGGCTTGTGCAGAGTTTGTTTATAGGGTTGCACCCTGCAACCCCCCAAACCCTCCAAATCAGCGGACCCTCTGAGTTTAGGACGTGTAGGGCGCGGCGGAGGGTTCGGTTGGCTTCTTGATGGTAGATGTTGGTATCGGATTGGGGCTGTTTACCTGCGAGTAGTATTCCTTTCGTCGAAACAACTTATAAATTCGGAATAGTTCTTCAACCAACCTTAGGGAAAGTCGTCTGGAGAGATCTTGAGCTGCTAAACTCTAAATCCTAAACCCTATATAAACCCAAACCCAATATACCCTCCTGCAGTTCAAACCCCCCCCACCCCCCACCCCCCACCCACCGCCCCCCACCCCCTTTTTTCTAAATCCACTGGTCCCTGCCTGCCTAGTGGCGGGTAGGCTAGTTTTGGGCATGTTTATACATACATGTATATATACACGAGTTTTTTCAGGTTCATGGTGCCTAAAAAGGATTATAAGTGGCTTATAAGTGCAGCTATAATTGGTTGATAAGGACCCTGAACCTCCAAGTACATCTACGTACCATCTTTTACCCTAAACCCTAAACCCTAAACCCTAAACCCTAAACCCTAAACCCTAAACCCTAAACCCTCAAGCCTTGAACCTTTCATCGCCCAAACCCTTCGAACCCTTGGATGCATCCTAAACATTGGGGATCAATGGGGGGTTGCATGGGATGGAGGCTTTTGAAAGGGTTTAGGGTTTAGGGTTTAGGATTTAGGGTTGAGGGGTTTTAAGGCCTTATCCGTGCCCTTACAACCCCCCCCGCCTCCTCCCCGGGTGCGTTGTGACGGAAAGAGAACCGAAGGCAACGAACGTTCGGAGTTTTACTCGGTTTATCTGCCACTGCTGCTGATTTGTAGTTCGTTGATACTGAATGTGCACTTACAGGATGCCTTCAGAACGACGTCGTACGATCTGTGCCATATGTGGAAAGCCTGCTCTCCCAACGCGACGCGAGTCTTGGTCCTCAAGAACTCGATGCTGCACGTGTGTCTCCCCTTGCGGATCACCTGGGCCAGGCCTTCACCGGGGATCTTCTAAACCCTAAACCCCAAAGGGGATCTGCTCCACGTCCGCGTACTTCTGGAGAAGCCGCCCGTATCGACCCCCTGGCTCCGGCGCCGCGTCTGCGCCTGCTAGGGGCGCTGGACCTCGAGCCGCAAGCTGCTGGGCGTTGCGCTCGCAGGCGAGCGCGAACCGTCCCCCTCCCCCCCCCCCCCCCGCCAAAAACACAACCAACCCTGTATACGCTACACCCCTCCCTCCCCTGAGCAGAACCGCCACTACCTCGAAGCCATCACACCTCAAGCCTCACCCTTCAAATCTTGAAACCTCAGCCCGCAACCTCTGAACACAAGACTTCCTAAAGTCTCGGATCTACAACTTCCTAAAGCCCTCAACCCTAAACAACCCGAACCCTAAACCCTAAACCCTAAACCCCAAACCCTAAACCCTACAAGCCCCAAAAAGCGCCCAATTTCCCAGACCCACCCTTCAAGGTTCATAGGGTCGCTGTAGGCGGCCATAGCTGGCGAGGTGCCCGAAACAAGAAGCATCGAATCAGGGTTTAGGGTTTAGGGTTTAGGGTTTAGGGTTTAGGGTTTAGGGTTTGGGGTTTAGGGTTTAGGGTTTAGGGTTTAGGGTATCGGCGACCTTGCTCATAGCCCTACTTAGCACCCATAACTTTCGATGTCTGGATTCTGATAGGCGGCACAAAAATGCCGAGTAAGGACTTTTAGTAGAAGGGGGAACTCCATAATGGCACACCCAAACCCCACACCCCGAAACCCTAACCACCCTAAACCCTAAACCCTAAACCCTAAACCCTAAACCCTAAACCCTAAACCCTAAACCCTAAACCCTAAACCCTAAACCCTAAACCCTAAACCCTTAACCCTTAACCCTTAACCCTTAAACCCAAACCCTAAACCCTCTCATGGCATCACTAGGGAGCCACGCCGAAAGGGCTGCGGAGAGGCCGCTGCAGGCCGTGTGATTCGCGAAGCAGCCTGCCGTAGGATTTACTTGGAGGGGGTGGGTACTTGTACCCCCAATTATATATCTGCTTATGACCCAACTTGTGGGTGCCCTGAACCTCCGGGTAGGGTTGAGGGCTTAAGGTTGAGGGTTGAGGGTTTGAGCCCTTTCAACCCTTGGCCTACTTTTGGGGGTCTTTGAGGGTTTCGGGTTTAGGTTTAGAGTCCGCTCCTGCATAGCTGTTGTCTGATTCTGTTGTTTTCGGAGGAAATCAAGTTAAAAACAAGAACTGGGGCAGTTGGCTCTCAAACACTGTTATTTAACCAGAAGAAACCTCCACAATCCAACTTTACGGTTCGAGTTACTTTTTAATTTTTGTACATCCACATGTTAGCACGCAAACTTTGGCCTACTGTACCAACATGAAGTCCCGCATCCCTCCATTCCACTGGTTTAGGGTTTAGGGGTGTAGGGGATTAGGGGCTCAGGTGCTTAGGTGCTTAGGCTGCAGGCTTACCGAGAAGCCCTAAACCCTAAACCCTAAACCCTAAACCCTGAACCGTGAACCCTGAACCCTGAACCCTAAACCCGAAATTCTAAATTCTAAATACAGAAATTAAGGGTTTCGGAGCCCTAGGCTGCACACCCCAGACCCCTAAGCCCAAGCAATCACCAGCCTTGTGCAGCAAGCATGGGGCAAGCTGCGTCCAGGACCTCAAGCTTTAGGGGTGTAGGGTTTGGGGTTTGAGGGTTTAGGGGTTTGAGGGTTTAGGGGTTTAGGGAGTTTAGGGGATAAGGGTTTATCCCCCCGGCTGAGGGAGTTGGGATTTCAGATTTCGGGTGTAGGGTCTAGGATTTACTCGCGCCTTCCTGAGGGAAGAAAAAAAACCATTCGCTGCGCTTTCTTCCCAGAAGCGTCAGTCGGTCGCTAAAGCCGTGCGGCGCGCCCGCCGGCGCGCCCCGCCGGGACCACGTGGTGTTCTTTTTCTCGAAGCCTGCCAAAATCACGCTGTCGCCTACACAGGGGCGTGGCCGTGCTCAATGTCCTCGAAAACTGTCATCGTGCTTTTGCTTCTTCTATGGGGTCTATTTTAGGGGTCCCTTATGTTCGGAAAACCCCCGCATGTCTTCGAAAAAAATGCGAAACTGTCGTTGCTCTCGGACTTCTGGGATCTTGCGTATTTACTAACCAACTACAACTGTACCTATAACCCAAATTAAAAACCATATTGTAAGGGCACCTAAGGGGGCGTAAAAGTGGGTTACAAGTACAGCACTTGGTTCATAAGTACCCTGAACCTCCAAGTGGTGGGGGAGTTCGGTTGGGGAGGGGGGGTGGCTGCGAAAGACGGTTCCTGGCTTCGCCCACCATCCTGAACCGTACTACTGAGGTGTCAGGGACCTTTGCTGCTTTTTGGAACCCTGCACCCTAACCCTAAACCCTAAACCCTAAACCCTACACCCTAAACAAAAAAACAAGAAAACACACATTTTTTTGGAGACTTTTGGATGGCCGGGATCTGGGATAAGCCGGCGTCGTCCACGGGACACCTGGACGAGCTCGCCCACTGTCCGCCCCTCTTCCAAAGCAGAAGCTTTCAGGGATTAGGGTTTAGGGTTTAGGGTTTAGGGTTCAGGGATTAGGGTTTAGGGCTAGGGGTCAGGGTTGAGGATGCCTTAACCCCAAAACCCTAAACCCTGGACCCTAAGCCCTAAACGCTATTCATGAACCCTCATTAGGGTTTAGGGTTTAGGGCTGCCGTCAGACGCGTGACTTCTGCCTCGCATTCAGCCTGCAGCCCCTTTTTTCTCATCTTGTAGGGAAGTGGGGACTTGCATCCCCTTTATATTACGACTATTTGCTTAACAACTCCCCCCCCCCCCCACCCAAAGAAAAGAGATAATAATCCCTATGCTGCCCTTATGAGGAAGAAAAGGAAGAATAAGTTTGTTTGTTGGGGGGTTGTTAAGCAAATAGTAGATTGGCCCTCATTACAGAGGGAAGCTATACTGCCCAACCTTCCGCCTCGGAATTCACGCATGAGTTGAAAGGGTTTAGGGTTTAGGACTTAGGGTCACCCGAAGCTCTGAACCCTTTTGTTTCGGGTAGGCGCGAACCTGAAACCCCAAACCTCTACATGCAATTGCTGAGGGGTTCGACAGACATGCAGGTCGGAAGAAGGCCCCTAAGTTGCCTCGAGAGGTTAGAGTCGATGAGCGGCGGTTCCAAGACGGTGTGTCCCTAAACTCACTAAACCCTAAACCCTAAACCCTAAACCCTAAACCCTAAACCCTAGAGCCCTTGAACCCTAAACATCCGTAATGAATGCATATCGTAGGGTCGACATCAACAGGGTGCCCACCCTAAGCCCTAAGCCCTAAACCCTAAACCCTCAACCCTAGCCCTAAACCCTAAACTATACTGCATAGGTACATGGACCCTTAGGGCAAGTACCTAAGCCCTAAGCCCCCACAGTCTAAGCCCTTGGCCACGTGCTGCTGGTTCTCCGTCTGTGGAGGCTCAGAGATTTGAGGGCTGGTCCAAGGCATCAATTCGGTTTAGGGTTTAGGGTTTAGGGTTTCGGGTTTAGGGTTTAGAGTTTAAGGCTTAGGGTTTAGGGTTTCGGGTTTCGGGTTTAGGGTTTGGGGATTTTTTTTTGCAACCCGCACTGCCCTCGCTCTCGCAGGTTTTAGGGTTTAGGGTTTCAGGACTCTGGGGTCTAGGGTTTAGGGGTTTAGGGTCTCTCAACTCCGAGCGGGTGCGGGCTTGGGGTTTGGGGTTCAGACCCCGTTTCGGGAACTGGGGCTTGGGTACGAGGCTTTGGGTTACAAGGCCATGTGCAACGAGTTGTAGGGCGTAATTAGGCGTTTAGCTTTGGACCTCGAAGGGGATCTTTTTCTTGCGGGGCAAATTTAAAGGCCACATAGGGTTTAGGGCATTAATGTACCTCCACGTACGCAGAGTTACCCAAACTTGACGTCTTCTTCTGGGTATGGGCTGAGGGTTCTCCCGAAACGCAGGCCAAGTTACCCAAACTTTACAGTCTACTTCCCTTCCCCCCCCAGCCCTAAACCCTGAACCGGCAAGTCTGACGGCTTTGAAGCCTTGGACAATGCCAAGCCATCAGGCCCTAAACCCGAAACGCCTCAGGTTTGTTGGGTATAGGGTTTAGGGTTATCGCTTTCAATCATCCCCATCAGGATTCTGATCACAAGGCGGGAAAGGGTAAGGCTTTCACACCTTTCAATCATCCCCGAACTGCTGGTTCTGTTCAAAACGATCTAACCTGATCCTTCAGCAAGACCCTAAACATCGTGTAACATAGGGAGGGTAGTGTTCTTGGGGGAGGGGTAATTATGGTATACTTACATGGGGATCATGAAGGAATACTGACAGGGTTCCTAAACCCTAAACCCTAAACCCTAAACCCTAAACCCTAAACCCTAAACCCTACGACCCCCTATATTTTTGAAACCTGGCGCACAGGGCCTGCCTTCCCAAACCCTGAACGCGAAGGCCTCAAGCACATTTCTTGGACGCAGCGGGGTTTAGGGTTTAGGGTTTAGGGTTTAGGGATGTTCCACCATTATACTAGCAGTCCTTAGTAGCGATCACAACAGGGGGGGTACTGTAATCCCTATTAAGGACTGCTAGTATAAGGGGGAACATCCCAAGTTTTAGGGTCTCAGGGTTGAGGATATAGGGAGGCGTAGGGCACCCCCCCCCCCCCCCCCCCTCCCCCCCCACAGCCACAGCCTCGCCCTTAATGCCAATCCCGAAGCCCCTCCCCGGCCGCCAAGCCACGAAAAACAGCCCTCTGGGTTTAGGGTTTAGGGTTTAGGGTTTCGGGTTTCGGGTTTCGGGTTTGGCAAACCCCACACAGACAAAACCTCTAATCTCTCAGAGGGTCGTAGCTGCCATTGTAGCCCTCCATGGCGATCAGGTCCTGCAGGCCCAATGGCTGGCTTACATGGGCCCGAAAGGACCTTGAAACCCTGTTTAGGGTTTAGGGTTTAGGGTTCAGCATCTCTGGTCCAAGCATTCACAAAGGGTTTTTGTCATCACCCTACGTGTTTGGCATCACCCCTCCCTCCCAGATCCCTCTTCATCTGAATTACATATCTTCTTTCTTACTTTAGTTGATCATTTAGCTCGCAACATTCTTTCTCGATTCGGCACCGTCTAGTCAATTCGGCACACGGATAATACACAGCCGCGTCGGTTTTCTGGGTTTTTTGACCAAAACCGAGCCTTCACCGGTTTCAGGATTTCAAGTTTTTCAAGGTTATTTCAAGGTTTTTCTGCGATTTTTCAATGTTTTTCAAGGTGTTTTAGGGTTTTTAAGCCTCAGTTCTGATGAAATCCCGCCGCCGCAACCTTTTCACAGCCTAGTTTTGATCAAGGGGGGGTGGCATTTTTCAATTTTAAAGGCAAAATAGTCTTCGGAGACCCCCCCTTGCCTCAAACTCCGGCCCCCCCTTGAGAGGGAAAGATTGCCTCCAAAAACACCCCAAATGAGGGGGGGACCCCAGGATCGGCCCGGTCCCTATGAAAAATGCGATTTTTTAGTACTGAAATCGACGGTCCTTGGTGGGCTCTCGTTTTCTGGGTTTTTTGACCAAAACCGAGCCTTCACCGGTTTCAGGATTTCAAGTTTTTCACGGTTTTCAAGGTTTTTCAGTTTTTTTCAATGTTTTTTTTTGCGATTTTTCAATGTTTTTCAAGGTGTTTTAGGGTTTTTAAGCCTCAGTTCTGATGAAGGGCCGGCACCGCGACCTTTTCACGGCCTAGTTTTGGTCAAGGGGGGGTGGCATTTTTCAATTTTAAAGGCAAAATAGTCTTCGGAGACCCTGCCTCAAACTCCGACCCCCCCTTGAAAGGGAAAGTTTGCCTCTAAAAACACCCCAAATGAGGGGGGACCCCAGGATCGGCCCCGGGTCCCTATTAAAAATGCGATTTTTTAGTACTGAAATCGACGGTCCTGGGTGGGCTCTCGTTTTCTGGATTTTTGGACCAAAACGGCCGGTTTTCCACCGGAATACTAAATTACGAAGCCGGGCTTCCCCCGAATACTAAGTTACGAAGCGGGGCTTCCCTCGAATACTAAATTACGAAGCCGGGCTTCCCCCGAATACTAAATTACGAAGCCGGGCTTGCCCCGGAATACTAAATTACGAAGCCGGGCTTCCCCCGAATACTAAATTACGAAGCCGGGCTTGCCCCGGAAGACTAAATTACGAAGCCGGGCTTCCCCCGAATACTAAATTACGAAGCCGGCCTTCCCCCGGAATACTAAATTACGAAGCCGGGCTTCCCCCGGAATACTAAATTACGAAGCCGGGCTTCCCCCGAAGACTAAATTACGAAGCCGGGACGCGCGTGACGCGCGTGACGCGCGTGACGCGCGTCACGCGCGTGATCCTAAATCCTAAATCCAAACCCTAAACCCTAAATCCTAAATCCTAAATCCTAAATCCTAAACCCTAAATCCTAAATCCTAAATCCTAAATCCTAAATCCTAAATCCTAAATCCTAAATCCTAAATCCTAAATCCTAAATCCTAAACCCTAAACCCTAAATCCTAAATCCTAAACCCTAAACCCTAAACCCTAAATCCTAAATCCTAAATCCTAAATCCTAAATCCTAAAAACCCCAAACGGTCATAATCAGAACACGACCCCATTAAGGTTTAAATATACATAGGTAGAGAGGGTTTAGGGTTTAGGGTTGAGGGCGACCCCGAAAATTCACCCTCTAAAGCCCCTAACCCTCCAAACCCCCTAAAGGCCCTACAACCTCTCAGTACCCCTGAAGGCCTTCCAACCCTACACCTTGAGCCTAGCCAGCGACCCGGAACGGGGTGCGCACCTTCTGCAACTGATATGCACGTCTGCGCGCACGAGCGATCACTTGCACCAAGGCTTTGCACTTCCCGAAGCCTACCTTCCTCAGCAAGCCAGAAGCAGAGGGACCCTCCCTCTTGTGTATACTTTTTTAGGGGTTTAGGGTTTAGGGAAACGAACCCCGCGGACAATCATAAACCTCCAAACCTTTCAAGCCCTCAAGAAAACCCCTAAACTGACTCGCTGACCCCGGACCGTGTTCTCACACACAACCTGCACCCAAGGCGCCAGGTGCATCAAGTTCGCTGGACTCCTTTGCCCACAGGTGGGTTTGGGGTTTAGGGTTTAGGGTTTGAAGCTGTTATCGGTTTGTTGACCCAAAGGTTACGTGTACCCATGGAGTACGCCTAAACTAAACCCAAACCCTAAAACCCCACAAATCTTAAGGGTCCATACAAACCACTTTGGGGGGGAGGGGGGGGGGTGGGGGGCAAGGTGGGGGCCAACTCATCCCAGCAACTGTAAGACTCTGTAAACTTCCTCGTCCTTCCTAGCTTTTCGGGTCCCTACATCATCAAGGGGAGGGGGGGGGGGGGGGGGGGGGGGGGGGGGGAGAAAGCACCGCTTCCTTCCATTTCCCTACGCAGAAGTAAGCAAAGCAAAGGAGGTTGAACCTTGCAGCGCTACGTGGTTGCAGGGTTGCAGGTCAAAAAGGGTTTAGGGTTGCAGTGCTGTAGGTTCGGGATTTTGTTTCAAGGTGCTTCAAGCGCCCAAAGACTGCACATGCTTAGGCTCTTCGGTTCAGAGATCCCAAGGCCGCGGCAGCATGTAGTCCGCAGCGGTGCCGGCATAGTCGCACGCATCGCAGAAGCAGCTGGCTTCTCGGGCCAGGGCGTAGGGCCCTCGCACAGAGCTGCTTCATGATTTGGGGCTTCTACAAGTGTTGGGGGCGGGGGCGGGGGGCGGGGAGGGGGGTGATTTTATCGTACGGGGGGGTGCTAAACATTCGAAAGAAAGAAGCGCCGAAAACTCCACCTCACAACGATCCTCTGCCTGTAACCTACTTGGAGGTTCAGGCTGCTTGTCAAAGCCATTCGACCTGTACTTATAACCAACTTCTAAGCACCTTAAATGCCCTAATGTGGTTATAGTTTGGGTTATACGTACCATTCGAATTGGCTAACGAACCTTCAAGTATAAGAGGAACCGTGAGTGTACCAAAATGTCCCGAGGACCTAACGTGTGGGTTCCTGTAGTCTTGAAGGCCTTCTTGACTTCTTGATGGGGGAGGGGGGGGTGGGGGTGGGGGGCGCATGTCAAAGTCTCAATCAATCAAATCCCTCACCCTAAACCCAAAACCCTAAACCCAAACCCTAAACCCCTAAACCCCTAAAAGCCCTAGACAATAGACCGAAAACTCTGAGAGCTTCCAGTCCCTTTAATCTCAACACAGTTCTGGCTCTTTGGGTAGCCCGGCTTCTTATAATGTGGAATTGAAAGGGCTGTACTCACAAGTGCCCTTGCTGCCCTTGGGGGGGGGGGGGGGGGGGTTGTGGACCCTAAACCCTAAACCCTAAACCCTAAACCCTAAACCCTAAACCCTAAACCCTAAACCCTAAACCCTAAACCCTAAACCCTAAACCCTAAGGGAGGGCGCTCCCTGAAATCAACTTCCATGAGTGCGCATTGGCTGTTGCAAAGTGGCGAAGGCTCATAATCAGCATCGTCCACTGGCCTGGGTGACAGGCGTAAGTAAGTGCAGCCTTCATCGTTGGGTTTAGGGTTTAGGGTTTAGGGTTTAGGGTTAGGGTTTAGGGTTTATAAGGGTTTAGGGTTTAGAGTTTAGGGTTTAGGGTTTAGGGTTTAGGGTTTGGGGTTTAGGGTTTAGGGTTTAGGCGCCGCGGGTTGAGGGTTGAGGGTTTCATGGGCAGTCCTACCGACAACAGAAGTGAAGACAACTTGCCTGTCGACCGGCTCACGCCTTTCTCAAGGAGCAAACCACAAAGCCCCTAAACCCCCCTGAAACCCATAATGCCTGACAAGCCCCTAAAGCCCCACAGCTCTCAAACCCTGCCCTACACCCCCCCCCGCCCGTGGCAAACCCTAAGCTCGCATGCGAAACCCCGAAACCCGAAACCCTAAACCCTGAACCCTGAACCGGCGCTTCAGCAGCTGAGGAGCTCCAGCTAGCGAGCAACTCGTCTGGGACCGTCCCAGCCTGGGCTTACCCTAAACCCTAAACCCTAAACCCTAAACCCTAAACCCTAACCCTAAACCCTAAACCCTACACCCTAAACCCTAAACCCATCTATCATGGACAGGTTCTCACTTCAAAGGTTCCGGGCGTCAGGTGTGGCGAAGCTCCGCGACCCTCTAAACACCCAAAACACCCTAAACACCCCAAACCCCCGAAGTGCCCCAAGAAACACCCTAACCCTAAACCCTGAGACTTGAACCCTAAACCCTGAACCCTCATCCCTAACCAGGGCTCAACATCTTTTGTTCCCCTTTGAAGCGGGCGCACCGAGCGCGCCACAAGTTACGACCTGCGAGCTAACTCCGAAGCCATTGCTCAGTTGCCTGCGCTTCAGGCACCAGCTCCACTGGTTTCGAGAAAGCTCGCCAGTCTGCAAAACGTCACTTGCTTCGCCAGGACACTTCCTCGACGCGGAGCTCCGAAAAGAGTCGTCCTGCTGGCCGGTTCACAGTCTGGGTTGCCATCGTCAGCTGTCGCACCAGCTTCCCAGTCGCCGAATTTCTTGAGCTTGAAAAAAAACTCTAAAACCTCAACCCTAAACCCTAAACTCCCCTGACTTCAGCCGGGTCCTTTCAGTCCCCTTATGGGGCCCATAATTCTCCGCAACTTTGAGGGCCGATCAAAGCCTAAGCCTTTAGTCCTAACCTCTACTGGGGTTTAGGGTTTGGGGTCTAGGTTTGAGGGTTAGGGCTAGGCTTAAGTTCAGGGTTCAAGGTTACTCTAATAAAGCCTTAACAAACCCCAAACCTTAACACAATAGAGCCCTCCATGTACAGAAAACCCTAAACCTTTCAATCCGAAACCCTAAACCTTAACACCCTACAAACCCCTGAACACTTAATCCTCTGTGTTTAAGGAGAGATGCCTA